GGCGTTGAAATGGCGGTCAATTTGAGATTTTCGCTGGGCTGGTTGCTCGACAACCCAACTTTTGTGGGATTTGTTTTGATGAACTTAAAGGGCAACTATTTGGCTTTCGTGCTGCCAAGTTTCGATTCAAGGGGAAGTATTTAAGTGTGTTTTTCGAGCGATTTTGGCGAGCGTGTATGAGACAGAGGTTTCCTACCTTCCCTTTTACTTGGTAGTGCTAGGACGTTGAACTGAAACACAGCAAAACGGCCTCAAATCGCGACAAGAACAGCACAGACTACCCTGTATTTTTCTGGCGCCAAAATGACGTTGCGGTAAGTTTTCTAGCTTTTTGTTGAATCATCAGAGAATTTAGGAGAAGTTAGGATTGATTTTTTTCTCGGAAATTGAAAGTTACTTTAATGAAATTCAAAATATCAAGTGACGAGAAGACGTCATTTAAAAAAAACAAACAAACGAATCGGGACTTCGAGACCGTTAGCCTTGCAAAAAAATCGAGACTCGAGACACCTTCGTATAAAAAACGAAACTGTGAGACGCACATAACCGCTGAAAAAACGAGACTGCGAGACCTACGAAATTCGACTTAAAAAAATTTTGCGAGACCCAGAGTTTTTGAAAGACCATTCGCCACCCCCAGTTGAAATTGTAAATTGGCCACCGTAACGAATAAAAAAGCTGACGTTTCGAGCGTTAGCCCTTCGTTAGAGTGATATAGTCAGGGACTATATCACTATGAACGGCCTTAAGTAAGGAAAAAGAAAGAAAATTAACCGTCATGCACTCACGTTCTCGAGAAAACCTAAAATTTGGCAATTTCACGTTGTTGTTTTGCCGAGAACGGCAAAGAAATGTACCAAAATGTTAAACGCACGTGCAGGGCGATTGTTTTTGCTCATTAAACCTATTGTTTTCTGCCGTTCTCGTTGCCGTTGCCGCTCTCGTTGCTAAAGCTCCCTAATGTGTTAAGAACGTTAAGGTTTATCATAAATTCGGCTCACTCGAATCGTTCATCAAAACGTGCGGATCCTATGCTTACTGTGATCAGAAAACCAACCCTACCTGTAAAGGCGCTAGTGGATCGTTCGAGTGTGATATCAATTGCTGCAGCGGTGACGACTGCAATGCTGGCTCAGCAACCCGCATCAGTGGTATTCTGCTGCTGTCATGCGCCTTGGCCTCTCTGATGATCTTTTCAAAGCCTGAAGCGTGACCGTGGTTGAGGTCAAGCACGGCTGATGATCAAGGCTGCAACTATTATACGCTTTTTTGAAAGGATGTCGGTAGAGAATTTGAATAGAAATTCTTGCTTAAGTCGTAGTAGTAGTCCATAGTAGATAAAGTCAAGCCGGTTCATACAAGAGAAGATGCTAGTCCATCATAGTTTGTCACGTATTGTGCTTATTAGTTANTTGGGTTCTGTCCTGGTGTACCGGTTCACAAGGGAATTACCATTGTTCTTTCTTTGTTTAGGAGTCATCGGTTAGCTATTGTGTATTGTTTGGTCTTTTGTATTGGCTCTTGTGAACCGGTACACGAGGACAGAACCGAATTTTAGCAAACCACGACGGCGACGGCAACGAGAACGTGGAAAAACAATAGACCTAATTGGCAGAACGGGTTCTGTCCTGGTGTACCGGTTCACAAGGGAATTACCATTGTTCTTTCTTTGTTTAGGAGTCATCGGTTAGCTATTGTGTATTGTTTGGTCTTTTGCATTGGCTCTTGTGAACCGGTACACGAGGACAGAACCGCAGAACGATAGCCCAGCACGCGCGTTTTAAAACTTTGTACATTTCTTAGCCGTCCTTTGTCAAACAACAAGGAGCTTTAGCAACGACGACGGCGACGGCAACGAAAACGTCGTGTCGAAATCTAACTTTTCATTTTTGTAACTCTTTCGAGATTATTCCGATGTGTTTCACTTGGGAAATGCTGGCGAACTGTTCAAGGACTATATCACTACGAACGGCGTTAAAAAAAGGAAAAGAAAAAGAAAATTTAAACGTCATACGCTCACGTTCTCGAGAAAACCTAAAATTTGGTTATTTCACCTTGTTGTTTTACCGAGAACGGCAAAGAAATGTACCAAAATGTTAAACGCACGTGCAGGGCGATTGTTTTTGCTTATTAAGCCCATGGATTGTTTTCTGCCGTTCTCATTGCCGTTGCCGCTCTCGTTGCTAAAGCTCCCTAATAACGTGAAATCACCAAAATTTGCGTCGTCTGCGAACCGAAACCGCGGTGGCAAGTTATTTTAATTTACATTTAGAACTCAACGCTACTTTTACGCGTCATGTTGAGTTTGAGGTCTGGCGCCCTATGAGACGGTAAACACATGCAGCCATTTTTGAAATTCTAACTACATGTAGAAACTCATTTTTTAATCGACGTCTTTCCGTGGCGCTGCGTCGTGACTGTATAAGTTCCCTAATAATGATCTCGAGCCTCTCAGTGACGATCAAATTTTGGGATGGATCTGAAATATATGATGACAGTTGGTAATCACTCAGTCAATGTGCACTATTCACCGATTGTTAACTATTGACAGGCTGGGGAAAAAATTACTAGGAAATTCTAAAAGTGACTAGCAAGTATTATTATTCATCCGGTAGCCGTAGAGACAAAATCGAGTGTCAAAAGTTTGATTTCCAATTATTTTTCGGTACAATTGCAGGAAAAAACGAAATTTTAGTTCTTGTGTATTACTACTGCATTAAAACAAATTTTCCCCTCTACTTCGATGAATTCGAATAATTGTTGATTGGTAGTGTAAACAAACATGATTACGCAAGTATCTTTATACCTTTTTCTCATTAACTTCCACGCCGTTCAAGATGAAAAAAACTCTTAAAGCGTATTGTTGTGACCAGAGCAGTGGGCTCCTCATAAGAATCTGTTCAATTGCTGATCGAGCTGCTCTATTTAAACCGTAGGTGTGGTCACTGTGTCGTGTGGGTAGTTCTTGATATCACGAGGCCCACTTTATCTCTTTCCGACGAGATATCTCAAGTTTTGATGTGGCAAAGGGGTAAGTATGGCAATGCAGCACGAGTGGTGAAGCCTGCGAAATTTGCAATTACTTCTCATGAAATGAGTCTGTTCTTGCATCAAGGACATAACGCTTATAAAGACCTGAAGCAAGCGTTAAGGAAAATAACACTCCACTAGTATTATGTTGGTAAGGACGCAATTGATAAAACTGAAGTTTTCGTTCTTGTCTACTTTCAGGAAACTTTGCAAGAAAACCAAGTTTATATTTGCCTCGCGAAAAGTAGTCTTACTCCCAATGTTCCAAACTGCGCGCTAAATGATCACGTTTTTTCGCGTATTTTTTTTTTCTTTTGAACTCGCGCGACGGACTTCGCCGAAAAGGAGGGACTGCTGGTATTATAATTTCGCTCTCGTCACGAAGTAGGAACCTCGCTGTGCTCTGGTTTGTACGTCATAACTTCAGAAAAATATTTTTGCGTCTGTTCCTCTCACTCAGTTCATATTTTCATTCAGTGGAATGTCCCTATCTGAATGCACAAATATTTCATTAAGTATTACAATGTTTTTGAAAAGGCCGTACGAGAGGTATTCTATGAGGCATTCTCAGACCTCACTTTTGTTTAAAATATACTTGACCATTCCATTGAAAGAAAATTTCCATTTAGGCTACAACTACTAAAAATAATTTGAATGATAACGATTGTAGTATATGTTATGACAGTAATTAGATGAAAGAACTTGAGATCATTTGAGCGCTCGCGAGGGGCCGGCCAAGCTGCAATGGATGGCAATTAATCGTACTTTTTTAATGGTTTGACCAAGATTTAAGGGATCATTTGATGTTTTGTGACAAGAAATTCCCTATTGATTTATGTATCAAGAGAAATTATTCCTTATAGCAATTAAAACTTGATCAATATGAAAATTAGCTCCTCGACGCTCAACTTCGCCTGTCTACAGCTGTTTGCCAACCAGCTTCGTTAATATTTCAAAACATTTTCAATAGCCGCGTATCGCTTTTTGTCGATCGATGTGCCGGCACCACATGTCGAACGAATGAAGCAAACTCTTTATCGTCTTCTGAATTACGATTTCGAAGAGTTTCTACACTTGTTGCATGCAACATTCTGCACAGTCAGGCGTAGTCCTAAGTTTTTTTTTTGAGATTATAACCTCGGGGATCAATGAAGCTTGGTTTAGAGTCAATGATTTGTTTTGTTGTCCTCCTCGCACATGTTCTTCAAGTCGGTAAGTGAACAATCTTGTTTTTAGTGCCACCATGTTCTCTAAAAAACTATGAGAGAGTCAAGGGCCCGCATCAAAATAGAACTTTAACTCAGAAAATGGTTTACCACTCTTTTCAATGCGTGAATAAGAAGTAAATTCCTGATGGGAAAAACGATGTTTAAAATATAAAAAAAAAATTTAGATGCGAAAATAAATATAAAGATCGAGACAAAAAACTTACCAAATGTTGTGAGAAAAACAGGAAACACGAAACACTCGCGCGGTTCAAGGGGTTTAAAGAGAACAAAAAATAACTGAACATACTGAACACATGGAATATATGGGATGGCGTAATTTACATAACGTACGAACATAATAGTGAATAAATAAATATGCGAGAAAAAAAAAGGAAAGAATATACCTAAAGTAATTATTGTAAGGAAGCATAAGAAATGTGTAAGAAAATCAAAATAGAATATACCTAAAGTAATTATTGTAAGGAAGCATAAGAAATGTGTAAGAAAATCAAAAAATTAAAAGTTCTCCACAACACCAGGGCTACACTTCGAGGTTTCAAAAGAGCAGCTTCCAAAGCCAGATACTTCGAGTCGTTTTCCTACAAATGAAAAAATAGAAAAGAAGAAGAAGCTATGAAGGAAAAAGTATCGATAGATTAACTTGGAAAGTTTAGGTAAACTTTCCTTAGACGCAATAGCTGTCCGAAACAGCTTCTTCGAGTTGCATCAGAAAGATCATAGACAATTGATCGGCGAAAAAGTTAGCATAGGGTGTAGTCATTGCAATGGTCTCTTTCAAGATATTTTAGTAGCAGCCTTTTTTGTAGTTATCATTGTCAGTTGTTTCGATGTTGTTCAGCATCTTTATTAGGATTTCAAATTAATATATCACACACGAATGAGATGGATGTTGATCAAAACTGTCATGAATCAGAAGAGGATCCGCTAAAGCTGGTTTATCGAGCGAATTATTGACTGACGGGGGGGGGTGGTACAGTGCAATACGTCCAGGTGCATTACTAAAGAAGCCAACTGCTGCCAATCACATGTCATCAAATATTACAAGCAAGAAAGGTAAAGTCTGTTTACGAGCCTAGCGGCCCATTAGGGCGGTGCTTAACTCCGGTTTCTGTAGCATGAAGCGACTAGGAGTATTTCCACTCCCCCCTGGGTGGGATGCCAGTTCATCGCAGGGTTACCCCCAGCATTAAATTTGCCGGTTCCCATTTATACACCTGGGTAGAGAGAGGCACTGTGAGAGTAAAGTGTCTTGCCTAAGAACACAACACAATGTCCCGGCCGGGCTCGAACCCAGACCACTCGAGCGCACCAACCATGAGGCCACCGCGCCTCCACACATGCAAGAAAGCCTCGCGCTTATCTTTTCAGTTTAAATTCGGAAAAGGACATAATTTAACTCCGGCGCATGATCGACATGCAACGTCTCACAATCGTGATACAACAAAAAAAGGGATTTTATTGTCAGTGAGTTAAAGCATGTTGTCCACTTCAAAGGGCAACAACACAAGTGAGCTCTGATATCACTTACCGTTCCTGAAATTTTAAGGTTAGCCCTAAAATAAAAAAGCAAAAACTGTTTTTTTTATCACAACTTGTGTTAGTATTTTCACTTTCGCGTAAAAACGCCTGAAAGCTGACGGCGGAAAGTTCAACTCCCTTCCTCATGTTTCACAGAGTTTTACAACAACTGATCAAATTGGAAATTTTGCTTTCCAGCTCTTGCTATTCATTGCTTCAAGTGCCATTCCGAAATGTCATGGTCGGACTGTGATCTTGATCTGAACGTAAAGCCCGATCGAGACTGCCCAGAAGATAAAATCCGATGTATGGCTGTGATGGAAAGGGAGTCTCCGAGAGAAAAAATGGTTTACAAGAAAGATTGTGCTCACCGTCTCTTCAATCCGTGTCATGAAAGACGTGTAGAAGATTGTAGGTCCACTTTATGTGATAGCGACCTGTGTAACTTTGCTCTCACGCCAGAGGCCACCCTCATTGCTTCTGGCTTCCGCTGCTTCCGTTGTAAAAGCACAAAATCTTGGGACGACTGCGTTGAAAAGGCTGAAGAGATCTTCTGTAATACAGGCTACAGAAAATGTTACAAACTGGAGTTCAGGAAGAAAGAAGGAACGGAATATATAAAAGATTGCACCGTCCCTCTGGCATGTGGAAACTCGTCAATCAACATGCCTCAAGCCGCTAACCGCACCATTCATTGCTGTGGCCAACACCTTTGCAACGGAACGGGTATTTTGAGCTCTCCTATGGTAAGAGTTGGTCCTCTTCTCCTTCTCATTGTGGTATTCCTTTTTGATCTAAAAACGATTCAATGTTAATCAGGATCCCCTTTAACTTCTAAACAGAAGCAATAGAGATGTAGATGTCATAACGCCTTCTTAGCTAATCTGGAAGGGGAAGATAGTTCCCTCCCACAATATTGTACCCCTCTCATATTGATAGCTACGCCGGAAGACTTTGTCAAAGCGTAATTTTCAATGTAGAGTTCAACATTTTACACTCCTACGGCGCTTAAAAATCACAATAGATTTGAGTTTAGTAAAAACATTGCTGTAACCGGAAATCTAAAAGCGGACATTTCGTCAGCCCACTTTTTAAGTTGACAAAGGTTTAGCGCAGCTTAAAGCGTTAGCTTCCCAAGATTATTTTCGGTAGTTCACCTAGCTTCCTCAATTTCTAGTCGATGATCGACTAATCTCGCAGTCGAAAAAAATACCAGCATCAAAGAAGCTATAATTAACTAAAATCATCGCACCTCCTGAGAGCGGACTTCGTTCTTTGATTGGATATTTCTCAGAAGATAAAACAGTGTTATAATCATTTGTTTATTTCGAAGGAGTTTGTTTTTAGTGATCAAGCAACAACAGTGTATTGTTAGACAGTTATCCGCGTCTTTTGGTTCGTAAATGAAACTCATTGCATGTTTTTTTTATTAAACAGTTAATCGGCAGGAAGTTATTGTCAGCGATTTTGAAACTAAGCCACAACCTGTAAATTCAAATAAAGACCCATTTCTGGAATCTTCACACCTCCAAAGCGTTTTATGTGGTGCAGTTAATTTTCATTGGATCAGATATTAAAGTCGGGATCAAAAATTCAACACCTGACAGCTCCCAATTGTTCCAAACCATACCAAGACAAGGCAGTTTTTCTAACAATAGTGGCCCCACAACTCCTTACTCATCTCCTCGGTGTGCTTCTCTACAATTGCCTAAAACATTAATAGAGAATGAGGGGAGGGGGGATGGAGAAGGAGAAAAGAAGGTACTAGTGTCATATTATTCGCACCAATTGTACCAGAACTTAATCTTGTGTTTGCAACGTTACACTATTGAATTACTCAAAGCAAACCATGTCGGTGTCGACAGAAAGAGTGAAGCTTTGATGAACGTGCTTCTTTTCCATGAGGTTCAATGTCCATGGAGAAGTCATTGTTGGTGAGGTGATATAATAAAAGCAGTGGCTTGGTGATTCAGAGGGTTAGACTGCTGATCGAGCTGTCTCATTCAAGCCCTGGTTGTGTCTCAACATTACTTAACTTGCTTCATGTCTTGTACACAAGATAAGTCTTATATTGGCAACTTAATAAGTAGCCGGCGAGTCAGCTCCTCACCAGCTTCGCAACATGAGCGGCTAAGCTCGCGAGACTCGAGCCGAAGACAAGTCTGGCACGTGCCACAACCCTTGCATTTCCCTCGAAAACCTCTGATACGCTCGGATCTCTCGCCGTCTCGAGACCCGAGAGCTTCGTTGCTAGTATTGCAGCACCAATGCAAGCCTTCTTGAAGACTACGACCAATCAATCAATCAATCAATCAATCATTTTATTTAGTGATGCAGGTTGTAAGGAAGGGGGCAGCCATAAGGCTGATGTGGACCTACAACGAACTAATAAAATGTGAAACTAAAATAATTCATAAAATCACCCTATGGTATTATAGTGGCAAGAGAAGAAAGAGAAAGAGATGAAAAGCACAGACGTTTTTGGAACGCGCTCGGCGATCAGAGGGAGACCGCAACTGCTTCTGACGCGCTTTGACTATATGAGCCATAAACTTGAAAGCACTTTTCTGAACGTTCGAAACTAAACAGTTCTGAAAGATCTAAGGTACGTGATGGTAAAGGACTCTCAACTTCCGTCTGTGTTGAGACTCCCTGGCAGGTTGAAAGGGAGCACACTCCAAAGCTTAGGTATTGTTTATCATTTACTCACAAGAAACTGTTCATAAAAGCTTAGTTTCGTTGCCCCTTTAGGAGCAATGAATTTTTTTTTTACCATATAACCCATTTGGCTCCGCAAACACTTAATGAGGGGCGTACTTATTGTGCGGTCCCCATAGCGAGGGAAAAACACTTCGGTACAAGAGGGGCCAGAACAAGCTGCCAAGTCATGCGTATGGTCTCGCACGCTGACTAAATCGATTTGGTGCCAATCTTTTTGGTTTTAGCCCTGTCAATCAATCAGCCCACACTGAAGAAGATTAAATGTCCCCGTTATGTAAATGAACAAATTTTCTGGTTGGCCTTAGACTGCTTATGAATAGGCCACGCATGAAATATTTCTGTCTTTATATCTTATTTCATGGAGTGTTCTTCTTCTCTCTTATTATAATTCATTTAGACATTACATTGATGGAAAATTCCCGTTCATACTTCTCTACTTCTACAAATAACTTGGAAAATGATTAAAAAATATCAAATGACTGTGTATATCTAATAGAAATTGAGATCATTTGGACGCTCATGAGGGCTTTGCTGTGGTTGGGAGTAAATAGTTCTCTTCCCCATTTTGATGATGGTTAACATTACTATAGTTTGAATGACAAGTAATTCCCAAATAGCGCGGGTAGGAACGGAAGTTTTTACTCCCATCAACAAAAATTATGCTGGAAACGAGAATTAACACACTGACGCTCAAATTTGTCTGCAAACAGCTGTTTGAGAGCCAAGATAATCAACTGAGTTGATAGCTCGAATTGGCCACTCTAAAGTGATTCTGAAATTTGGAGCGTCAGCCCTTTATCTTACGCTCAAACCGTCAACTTCAGAATCAGGCTTTTTGCAGTGGCCATTTCACTTTATCACGTCAGTTTAAGAAACCACATTGTCTTGTAATACTCCCCACCGACGCAACACGCAACACAGCAGTTTCTCTGACAACTAACTCTCCTTATTGTTTGCGAGACAGCTTAGTAAACATAACAAGAGCCACAGATCGCCATTTTTGATCGATATACCGACACCACATGTCACACAAATGACGTGAACTCCCCATCGTATTTTCAATTACGGTTGTGCAAAGTTTTCTACCCCTGTTTTATGCAACACTCTGCACAATCAGGCGTCACTCAACGCTAAACTTTATTTATGATCATAACCTCAGGGGACGATGAAGCTCGCTTTAGAATTAATGATCTACTTTCTGATTCTTCTTGCATATGGTTCTCAAGTCGGTAAGTTGAGATTTTTATTTGCAGCACCTCCATGTTCTACACATTTTTGCTCCACTTTTAGCGTTTGAAAGAGCTACTTTCCAATTCAAGTCATTTCCTGCGCGACCTCTCGTTATCGTTTCGATAAAATGCAAATAGACAAAAAAGAGAAGAAGATACCTTGAAAGAAAAAAGTCGATGAGATTGGATTGCAAATGCCACACCAGGATAATTCAGTGTAGCTTTCCAAGACGAAAAAACTACTTCGTGTTTCAACAGATAAGACTACGGAAAATCGATTATTAAGTTTGAATAAACGGTAACCATATTTGTGACTATATGAAAGTCATATGTGTGAAATTGCGGTTTAAGAAGTGAATATGTGAGCGATTTTCGGAGCATTGAACACTACTTAAGCAGTAGTGAAAATAAGGCCTGAAAGAAATTCAGGCCTGTGCGGGATTTGAGCCCATGAACTCTGCAACACTGGTGCAGTGTTCCACCAACTGGGAACACTGGTGGTAATTATGGTGGTTCGCAATGAACCCGTGAATTGATGAGTCAATGTTTGTGAATATATGAAAGTCATATGCGTGAACTGCGGTTTAAGAAATGAATATGAAAGCGATCGTCGCAGTAATGAACACTACTTAAGCAATAGAGAAAATAAGGCCTGAAAAATACGAGCATACTTTCGCGCCAAATGGAGGCTACTGTTTTTATCATCTCTCAATTAGTTCTGCATCACGCGGGCCAAATATTAACGAACAGCTTACTGCTTACTGATTGTGTTGGATGTTCACTCACTTTAATTAAGACTTTTATCGTACCGGACGCACAATGTAAATTTTGAAAATTGGGGCGATATCACCAGGGGAATGATACCACCCATTTCGCCAACGCGGCTTATTCGGTCTTGTGATGCGTTTATACCAATCGCGCGAGAGCAAAAATATAGGATGGATTATAATGCAAAATAGTCTCATTCCAGTCTACTAACGGATGTGAGCAGACCCCAAGAATTTCAAATTTTGATGTTAATTATGAGTGAGTTGAATAAAGTATGAGTCCCACGTCAACAGCAAACGACAGAAGTAAACCCTGGATTCACTGCCCTGTCCAAAAATATTAAAATCAGCTCCGAAAAAAAAACAGAAACTGATCTAAGCGGAAAATTTTGTTTTGCAGTTCTTGCTCTTCGATGCTTTAAGTGTGAATCCGACAGGTCATGGATAGAGTGTGATCTCGATGAGAAAAAGACAGTGGAAGAATGTTCAGAGGAGCAAATCCGATGTTCTTCGATCATGTTGAGGGCCAATCCAAGAGAAAAATTAAAATACTCGAAAGGCTGTGTTAACCGTCTTCATAATCCGTGTCATCAGAAACGTGTAGACGATTGTAGGTCCACCTTTTGTGATAGTGAACTGTGTAACTTTGCTCTCACCCCAGAGGCCACCCTTATTGCTTCTGGCTTCCGCTGCTTCCGTTGTAACAGCACAAAATCTTGGGACGACTGCGTTAGCAAAGCTGAAGAAGTCTTCTGCAACACGGGCTACAGAAAGTGTTTCAAAATGAAGTTTAGGAGGGATAACGGCGTCATCGAATATTCAAAAGGCTGCACTGTCCCTCTGGATAACTCGTCCACTACTCGTCGTCTAGCCGATCGTCGTGATTTGTATTTGTGTGGTCAACATCTTTGCAACGGAGCGACCATTGTTTGCTCTCCTATGATGGTAATCTTTGGTCCCCTTCTCCTTGTCATGATGGTATTATTTTTTTATCTTAAAACTGTTTGTTAGAGAATTAAAATCGGTTTTAATCAGGATCCTCTTAAATTCCTCAATAGAAACATTAGACATTGTGGAACAACTTACCTGTAGACCTAAGACAAGCGTCTTCGCTGACTGAATTCAAATCTAAATTAAATCGCCACAGTTTAAAGTAAGATCCTATTAAGATCTTAATTTTAAGTAAATTTTAGACACGGCCTCCATGAAAAGCTGAATTATCTATTTCTTTTATTTGAATTGTTATTATCAAATTATTATTGTAGTTAGAGGGATAGGTTTCTAGTGTAGAATTAACTAAATCAACTGATGGAAAAACCCTGTATAAATCAAGTTAGTATATACTAAAACAGTGGATAGCGTTGAAGGCGCGCTCTGATTGGCTAGTCAAACTCCGAATATCCTTTGCTATTTACCTCCGAGCAACTCGGGAATAAATGGCGTGCCGGTTTGCATCCGTGACAAGCGAAGAAATCACTCAAATAACGACGAAGCAGTCCCTGGAAACACAGAAAGCGACTAAATTTGGTTTGGCCGTGTTTAAAGGTAATGGTAACCGGGAGTTTATCGATAAAAACCAATGAAAAAGGTTTTGTTTACAAATGCAAATTAATCTTGCGTAACCTCACTTGTTCACTTGAAAATCAAAGTTAAATGGTTTTTTATACAGAATGGTTTCAAATACAGAAAGAGTTTGCAACACCATTTGAAGAAATGTCGCCACCAGGAGCTAAACAAATCTCTTCAGAAATTTTATCTGTCAGCGAAAAAACGAGACGGCAGGTTTTACAACAAAAAATCACTTACCTCGATCCGAGCCCCGTTGGATCGTTACGCGCGGGAAAATGTTGGAATCGTTGCTGGAATGTATGAATTAAAATCAATTCTTGGTGGCGTATATTATCTCACTGTTTTAGTATATACTAAAACAACTATTCACCTCAGTGTCGGTGGTTAGCGGTGAATATTTACCTCGCCACTTCGCGGCTCGGTAAATATCCGCCACTAACCACCTCCACTTCTGTGAATAGTTGTTAATTATCCTATCCCATCCTACCCTACATCTAGCTTTTATAGTCTCGTTTACTCAACTGGAGGGGGAGGATCTAATTCATAAGTGGATAGTTCCCCCACAAAATTAGACCCGTCTCATATTGATAGTTATGAAGGCTTTGATAATTTTCAATGTTAAGTTCTGAAACTGAGCTGCAACCTGTATTGAGCTGGAAAATAAAAAAAAATAAAGGCACCTCTCTGGAATCTTCGCCAACGCGCTTTACAATAAAGTCAATTTCTCATTAGCGCCTAGATATTCACATCTGTTTTCACACTCAACTACTGACAGCTCCTGATTTGAAATTTGATCCTTACGATGGTATGGCATGGCGCTTTTCTTAACAGCAGTTGCCCCACAACCCTTAGCCCATCTTCTCAATGTGATACTGACATTGGACTGAGAAGGGGGGGGAGACTACCATGATTTCGAATATTCGACAAAGAATGAGCACACGCGAAATTGTGTTGAGTTGACAGGGAACACGCAACGGCCGTCTACACGATACCGAAACGTGAAGATTTTCTGTTGATGGAAAAATCGAAATTAGCAACTACTCGCAGGTGTTGTACAAGGAATAATCAGACCAACCTCGTTCCCAGGGTCTCTCATCTTACCGCCCCGTCTTCTCTCACCCTAGGGGGAGGGAAGATAAGAAACCCTGGGAACGAGGTTGTAATCAGACAGCATATTGAGAGCAGCTGTTCCCAACTAGTGCTTGTACCCTTCCTAAAACACAATATACAAAGTATCTCAGTTTGGCCTCTATTACTTCTAAAACTTTGTGGCTCATGTTTTGAAGAATTCGCTGAAAACTTGAATTCAAACATCGCACACGTTGTCAGCTTTTCCTACTTACGACCAACTTATCACCAGTAGGGCGAGATAAAAGACCTCAACACTATGTCTTGTAGCTTAAATACGCGTGGGGGAATTACGCGCGCGAAATAAAGCGTGGCTTATTCCTAGAGCCTACCTTCGCTGACAGGAAAGCGCGACTTAACTACTTTAGTTTTTGAGTCTACGCTACATCTGGATGACACAGATTGAGCCCTGAACTGGACTACAAAAACAGAATTTTTGATAGGGTAACTACTAACAAACAGACAAAGAAAACTTTCACTTTAAGTATAATAATTCTCGTTGGTTTTATTTCGACCAAAAATTGTACAGCGAAGTCAAACTCCAAACAAAAAGCTGTCTTGAACTTTATCAAATTTACAATAATATGCGTACGCATAAAATTCGCTCTGCATGCTATTTCTAACACTATCATAATAATTAAGTGCATCAACAGTGTTTGACATTTAGTTTGTCAATGACAGTTCAGCAATTGAAGTCAGCTCTTATACACAAAAATCAAAGCTGTAGTACCGTAACGCAGTAAACCAAACCCTAGGCACAACCACTCGGCTGGATACCCTTTTCTTCCATCCCCTCGTGCATTATCTAGCATTCACAGGAAGAAATCAATAAAGTCAAGCGACCGTCTTTCATCAGTCTTCAGCTGACTCGACACCTTCCTCTGTATCACCCCTGTATCCAAGTTCAGCCTCTGAAGTTACACCGCTGCCAAGATCTGCCATCTGTTCCTTCAAACCCTTCAGAGTATTTGACCGACCTTGATGTTCTCCTGTGTACGTAACTGGCTCTGGTGTAGCAAGTCCTCGGCCCCCTGAACCTTCTTCCTCCACTTCGGTGTCAGAGTTTACAGGAGTGATCGTTTCATCTGCGGCGCTGTCGAAAAGAACAGAGTCTGTATCCAGCGACGTAGAGCTACCTCCAGGAGCTGCTGTCATGTACGCTGCAGTATCAGTATCGGAGGTGATCTCCTCCCTTGCACTCATAAAGGACTCTGTATCACTGTCTGGCTCGGGACTGCCGTCTTGGTCGGCTTTTTCACCAAACTCGTCTTCTTCATCTATGACGGAGTTTTTGGAGATTTCCATGAGCGAACCCGAAGGAGACATATCACCAATAGCTTCACGAGGCTCATTTTCAGCAGAACTGAACGACTTCTTGATTGAATATTGTTTATTTCCAGGCACCCCTTTGAATGATTCAAAATTGATTTCATAAGTTACTTTCGGCTTTGCTTGTGACGATGAAGAATGCGCAGTCGATTTCTGTTCAAGGCGCGAGGCGGAAACCTCGGTCGCGCTTTCGCGACCGTTGCTTTGCGTGACAGTTCGGTGTACTTCAGACGCGACTACGTGACGAGTCACTGCTGTACTTTCATTAGAAGCTTTAAACACACGACTTTCCCAGGCGGCTGACGGTGATTGACTTTGAAGTTGCGTGACACTTGGTGTCACGGACACAATGACGTCATCAGTATCACGTTCAGGCAGTGTCACGGTACTTACATAGGACTGTTTAGAAGACATAATCTGTCGGTGAACAGTACTCGTTACAGTCTTCACGGATGTCTCAGTTTTTTCGGACACATGACGGCTGCCACTGAATGTCGCTGCCAGTGTCCTTCTCGATGAAGGTGTGATATTCAAACTGCTGCGGTATCCCCCTGCCTTTTCTGGGCTGGTGACAGACTCGATGTGACCGGTAGTCTCAGAAACCTCAGGCTGTGACTGCACGCCATCAGTCAAAACAGCTCTGATGTCTTGATCCTGTACAACACCCAGAGCTGCTTGCCTTTCATTGGGCATGCCAGGCACCGAATTAGCGGGTGGCGGGATGTAATCTTGAGAAATGGTCTTGACTACGGCAGCTTTCACTGGCGAATCCCTTTCAGCAGTCACCGGTCCATGCATCTCCACACCACTGTCAGTGACGTCCGCAGGGTAAGGTCCATCCCGCAAGTCGCTGCCAGAAGGTTTAGACTGCAAACCAGTGCTGCTGTGTAACGGTATGGTTTCAGTGAGATCTTGGAGTGCTTCTTCGTTGATATCTCCATTAGTTTCGGCAGGTGGAACACTTTCTTTTCGTTCAATATTGCTTTGCATAACTCCCTGAGGTGCTCCACCAAGGACTCCATTATGAGCCGCTGGTGCGATTTCTTCTGCCGTCTCCTGTAATTCACTTTTACCGGTCTTTTCATCTGATGGAGATCCTAAGAATTATAGAAACAGAACTCGTCAGTACCCACCGAAATCGCCGGTAACCATACCTCTAGCGATCATACTGGTTTGTCTCACTTCCAGGTCGCCCTTCTATCGGTCGAGAGAACTTGTGCCTCTCCCTGCACAACTAAATCTCTTCGCGACTTAGTCACAATCACGGTCTTTGCTTTGTTTGTCTTTACTTTTAGTTTCAATTGGTTCTCTGGATATTATACTTGATTCTACTAGGTCAAAGTGATTACTTTGGTCTCATGAAGCTCTTCAGAAAAAACACCAAGGAAACAGTTAGCTGCTGATGATTTTTTTCAAAACACCAAGGAAACAGTTGGCTGCTGATGATTTTTTTCAAAATGAATGACGACAGAAAAAGCGCCTAACTTTTACCCGTTTCATGTTCATCGGCTGCAGACGAGACATCAACCTCGTGAACCGCAAACTGCTTCTTAATCATTTCCTCGTTGATGTTCACATCCTGAGGAATAACATGCGAAGATCTTTGAATTTCAGTCCGAAAATGGTTATGGTTAGGATTGTACTTTTTCTTTTTTATCATTTAGACAATTATGGGAATTCTTTATTCTTTTCATTTAATTTTTCTTTATCATGTGGTGTTTCCAATTAAAGCTAGTCTTTCACTAGAATGAATCTTGACACATTCAGCTGTAACTAAATGCTACTTACAAACTTTAGCCATGATCAGCTAATTTTTTGCAAGCCTGATATGTTTGGCTGCTACCTGGGATTTTTTAAGAAGAGGGAGACTGGGGAGAGGAGAGAATTCTACCAAGGGGTTAATGATAGGTATAAGAGAGGAAGAGGAGAGGGGGTCAAATGTCTTTACTCACCCTCCCCTCTCTCTACATGCCTTAACTTTAACTCAAACCAGGTAGGTTAGTGAGTGATTGAAAGCCTGTAACCCTAACAAGCTCTCTCTTCATTGCTAACCAAGATAAATGCAATTAATAATTACTCACAGTTGGTCCTGCAGTGTCAATCAATTCAAGACAAGGTATGTCTCCACTGTATTTGACCACTCTTGCCATTAGAGACACCCACTGTGCGCAGTGGCTTAGATGGTCAAAGTCATCAGTGGATTCTTGACTCCACTCGCCATCTAATCAACATCAAGATTGATTTTGAAGCAATGAGCATGGTATATTATGTACATTTATGCCAATACAATGAGTCTTTTCTTTTTTTTCTACGATAAAATACTTATTTCTTTTATTAAAGTGAGTTAACAGCATGACAATGACCTGTTGCAGGCTCAGTGTCAGTAGATAAGCCAAAGAAGCAGATGAGGCACAAACAACAAGTTCTGTTGTTAAAGGAAGTTTCCCATATTTTTCTTTGCATGATCCCCTCTATTTTTTTTTTTTTTTGCACTTCTTTTTTTTTTTCTCATTTCTACGTACTGAGAGTCTAACAAAGGCTATTAGAATTATTGTAGGGAACTATAATGATAGTAAACTGTAATCAGAAAAGCAAGACATTTATTGTATGATAGTTGTACAGAAATTATGCACCTTTGTCATAAACTTTCAACTGGCAACCCCAAAACAATAATTCCTCTTTAAAGTGCCACTATGATCAAAATTTCGCATTGCCTTTTCTTTTCACTTCTGGAAACTAGAAGTAAGAAACACTTACCATGCCAAGTTTAATCGCAAAATCCTCACGGGAAGTATGATTATTTCAACCTTGTTTTTCGTTTTTGGTCGCCCGCCATTACTCAATTCAAAAATGGCCGCGTGTGGCAAAAAGAGTTGGCACTAGTTGGAGCCTTTCGGAAGTGACGTCATATGCGCAGCTCGACCTAAAAAAACGTGGCTAAATTTGCATGCCATTTGGAAGAAGAATTCAAGGAAGAATACATCTTATAAAACGCCTAGAATTTCCACTGTCGAATCTCTCACAACACACGAAGCACGATGCAAAGGTGTGCATATGACGTCACAGGCCAGCTCATGCATAAAACCGCTTCTCAATTCAGTCACTGGCTCTTGGTTGCGAGCTGAGTAATGGCGGACGGGTTTTTCGTGAATTTCGGCCAGCTATATCAAGGCGTATTTCGCTTCCATCGACCTAAAAACTATCACATAGTACAATTCTAACCATATTAACTTGATTGGCGCTAAAAAATGTGAAAACCAGAGACAAAAATTTTCGTCGTAGTGGCACTTTAATGGGCAACAACAAAAGGCAACGCTTGTTGAAAAATTTGCACAAGAAGCACTGTTTTGATGTCTTTTTCATGCACAGCAGACCATTCGTGGGAAATGAAATCTAATGTAAACCCGTGATCTCACTATCCACTCCTTTTTCATTTAGAAACCAAAATATATAAAGGGAGGTGGAAAAAGTTCGTAATTTTAGTTTAAACATATAATTTTACTCTAAAAATCACTTCTGATACTTCATTTAAATAATAATTTCAATACTGTAGTGATAATGATAAACATATCTCTGAATTTGAATGCCTTTCTTGTTTGTTTGTTTGTTTGGTTGTGTCTAAGCATCTGGAAACCTATACGAGATAAATGTACATGTACTTGTGTGTGTAGGTAGGCTACAAGCAGTTCCTCCTTTTTGGCAAAGTCCACTGTGCAATTTCAAAAACTCAGTGAAGAAAAAATTGATGTTAATGTGCCACAGGAGTGAGTGAAGCAATCTCCTGCAGCACATAATTTTATATGTCAATCCAAGAGCTTCCCACAACACATAACATCAATTTCTTTTACCGTTTTTTTTTTTACTAGCGTGACAGAATTGGCAGAAAAGGAGGGACTACTGTTAGTCTAGTGTGTAGGTGTACATTGTACCTTTAGGTGTTACACCTGCCAAAAAGCATTCAATCGCTTGGAATGGTAGTTGCTTGTGTTCTGGTCTGTAGAAGAAAAGAAAAACTCATTAAATAAAATCAGTGATAATGAGGAAGAGCAACAGTGGGTTCATACTACAGTATGTAAAACAATATTGTGAAGAATGGAGCAAAATACATCAATTTACCATTGAATTCAATAAGACGCAATGTTGCTGCAAATCAAGACAAGTAGTTGAATTATAGTTAAATGTTGATACATGTACTTAACAAGTCTTTCAGAATTTCACATACTCATTGTTCCATTTTTTCATAGCCTGACATGAAGCTCTAGTTTGGTATTTCAACAAAGAGACCATCGATAACTAATTGTCTTTCAGAGTATCTAAAAGAAATATGTAATTGAATTGGTTTTGTTTTAAAACAGCTTGAGGGAAAATTCCAGCTACTTTTCCAACTATTCATACACAAAACTACATCAAAATTGAGTTATTCATTGTTCAGGAAGTTCTCTACATTAATATTTGTACTTAAAACACTCATTTGCCCCTTGGAGTTAATTCAATTGTTTCAATGGGTCAATGTTCTTACTTGAATTCGGTTTTACAGGACTTGCCTGGACACTGCACTACAGCCTCAAGGCTTCACTTACTTTATAACTGGGTAACTTGGTTTTATCAACTAAGTTGATAACGTTAATTGGCCATCCCAAAGGGTTCAAAAGCTAATGCTTTGAGTGTTAGCCCATTGCTCTAACAAAGGGCTAATGCTTCAAACACCAGCTTTGAAACTCTTTATTATGTGCATGTTTCATTTTTTACTCAGTTGATAAAACCAGATATCTTATTATATTCCCCCACTGATGCAGCATCACAGTTTTTTTAGAAACATAACCCTTTATTCACATACTTTAGTTCTCTTAATTTGTCTATGGAGATCTTTCCTGAGTCTCCATAATCCACATAGTATAAATCCACTAGACCTTCCTTGCCGATTTCTGTAATACGTGCCCTGTACCAAGAAGAATCATATTCAAAGGGTGCACAGCAAATTTCTCCAACTCTAAAAGAATTTAGAATGGCTTGTGATTCAGAGGAGGAGTATAGTAGAGTCAAGTTCTTTGTGAGCTGATCCAGATCAGGTGAGTCTTTGGTAAGAAGCTGTACCCAAAAATGTCCTGGATTTTCAACAGCTGATACAAATACTTCGAAGAAGTCATTTTTTGCCGGAAATTGTACCACCCCTGTTGTTGGTGAAGCTGAAAGAGAAAAGAAATCTCAAATTTTAATTTTAAGTGATGTTCCAGCATCCCCAAATTTTTAACTATATTGACCTTAAGTTAAACTTGCCATATACCATTAAATAAATTTCATGTATGTCAATTGTGGTTTGAGGTAGTACCATTACAAAAAATAATTATAGTTATTATTCAACTGTGCTTTGTAGAGTACAAATAACACCTGAGAACAGTATAAATATCTCATGGTATCTTGCAGAGCACAAAGACAAAAAGGATTGAAGTTATGAAAAAAATGGTGGACAATTTAAATAATTTTTCTTATGATGAAGAGTCGGAATGGTTGGCGATTCTTGAACCTAGTTTATTAGACAAATCGAACTAAGAAAAGCAGTTAGACAACAATGAAATTTCAACATTATTTTATTGAAGAAAATAGAAACAGCAACACAACAACATGCCAATTCTGTTCCACCGTGCATACTTCTGTGGCGCACTACGTGTAAATAAATATCCACAAAATTTGACCCGCACTGAAATAACTATTTGACATGTTGGATAATAAATAACTTGTTAGACATTTTGGTGTGTTGTATTACTGAGTATTTTTACTCATTATTTGTATTTTGACTCGCCCTACAAGCTTGTCAAAATACAGCACAACTCGTAAAAATATTCATACATAATTATATCTAAAAAGATATAATTATGTATTTTTACTCTTTGTTTGTATTTTGACTCATTCTAGCCGCTTGTCAAAATACGGCACACCTAGTTAAAATACTCAGCGATACTATACAACAAAACTTTAATACGATACATTTATTTTACAAACTTATAATCATATGCTACAAGCTTCCTAGGATGTCTCTTGTAATTATTGTAAATTCTTTGGAAAGTTAAAGACTGCATAACTTAGTTACCATACAGCAGTAAGCAGTATTTCAAACTAGTGTATATGCAATTTGATAAAAAACAAATGCATGAAAAGGAAAGTTTTTGACTGTCAAGTTAATGGCTTAGGCCTAGTTTATATGTCGCGCCACAGTCAAATTTAAGTCCGATGAATTTAATTCCATTAAATTCGTTGTTCCATCTACATAAATTGTGACACGGTTTTATGCGTCAAAATCAATACGGTCAAATTTAAATGTGTTCCCAAATCAATATTTTATCCGTCTTACCAAGACGGATAAAACGTCTTGGACGAATATAATTTACCAGACGAATTTAATTCGTTTTAGATGTCGCGCTATTGTCGAATTTAATTGCTTGAGGAACCTTGAATTAAATTCGTCTGAATTAAATTCGACTGTAGCACGACGTATTAACTACGCCTTAACCTATTGATGTCCAGTGTGCCCGTAAGCGCCCATGTGGAACCACACCCTTTCTACACCTTGTGACATCATTACTTTTAACCCTGGAGCAGGACTTTGAGCGCGTACTTAAACAGGTTGAAAATATCTTACAAACAATACCAGAATGAGCGCAATTGAGTGAAGGACAATGGAGAAATAGCCAAAAAACCATGTAACTTTGACCTGAAAATCTACACAAAAATCTTGTTGCATTACCCACCTACCTTTCTGAGCATGTGGTTTGAAAATAATGAGTAGTTTCCTAAAAAAATCTCTACACCAAAAATAATGAAGCCTACTAAATTTCAAGCAAGTGAGGAGAAAATTCAGGCAAGGAAAGGGAAAAAAAGGGCAGGAGAAAGAGAGAAAAGTAAAAGTCGTAAGTGGGGCATTACTTTTCAACCCAAAAAGTATCTCAAAATTTTGCTTTCTGCACCTGCCTGAGATTTTCAGGCCACCATTTTGCATTTGGATTGAAAGGCTGTCAAGTGTACAAGCTGTGAATGGGTTTATGGTAAGTTTGAGCTTTTAAAACCACAATAGTGACCCGAAATCTGCTCGACTAGCTTCTAAACACAGTTTTTCACGACAGCTGCAGCTATTAATGGGTTAAAGGTGAAAAGGCTGTCCACGAGTGTGAGGGGAAAGGGAATGCATGGAGGATGTAGCTATATGGAAGAAAAAGGGATTGATGAATTGATCAACTCAATACAGGAAAGAAAACCAGGAAAGAGATCAAGAAACAGATGTACACAAAGTTACCATTAACTCTCAGCTAAGGCTAAGCACAAGCTTAGAAAGGTGAAAATTGCAGTACTATACAATTTAGATAATTATACATCTAGCTAGAGCATAATTATTCAAAAATTCTTCTATTCATTCACCTAAGCAAAAAATGAAACAACAATAATCTAAGTGACATACCAACTGCACTTTCAAGTTTTCTTGGTGCATGTCTGTTTCTTGGCACTTCAGCATCTCTCCTGCAAGCCCGTATTTCATTATCTTCTGCCATCTTCTCATTGAGTAGACCCTTGGCACTAGCAATTTGATCAGAAGTTCCAGTGATGGTGCATTTACGTAAAGGGTTGGAAATGTCATCACTAGTAGGATCAATCCTTATTTTAGCACCTACCAAGTGATTAAAAATGAAAAAAAAAATGATAAAAAGATGGCACTGTACAAAAATATCAATTAATCCATTGCAGTGACCATTTCTTTTAAAATGTTCAGTTCCACTCAGTGCAATGGACATTAGAAAACCTTTAAAAGTGACAAAATTACGATAAATTATAAATGTTGAGTAAAACCATTAGTGGTCGCAATATCTGGGGTGAAAGTTCGCTTAACTTTTTCCACATTAATTAATGTAAAACTTGCGTAATAAAATTTTTAAGTTTAAAAAAATTGGTGTCATCCCGCAAGAGTTATGACATCCAGAAACTTTAATTTATCAGTAAGTTATTGCCAGTTCGCTGAAAAACTGTGGTTGAATCATCTTTGCTTTTTACTCGATCTTTCTTCCTCGCCGCCAAACCACACTGGGTTCCCTTGATGAATATTAATGTTGGCTTACGTTAACTCTTGACAGTGTGAACATTTGTCGACAATAAACAAATGAAAATTTACCTGAAACAGCTGACATATGACGTATTGTCTGCCCTCCTTTACCAATAATTCTTCCGCAAGCACGCTGGGGCACGAAAACGTCTTCTGTTCTTATCACTGGTTGCTCTGCAATAACTTTCTTTATTACAATTTCTGCTCTTTTGACTTTTTCACGTTCCCCTTGAATAAGTAGCGTTCTCTCAGAACTTTGGCCTTCTTCATCTTCATCTATCAAATTCATGCGAACCCCAGTATCCTTTTGTATCTTTTTAATATTAGCTCCAGACTTTCCTATTATAACGCCAACCACTGCTCGAGGGATTTTGACCTCGAGAGTTCTTTGGTTAGCGGACGCGACAACATCGCTTTCTTCAACGTGAACATAATCCTTGTCTTCTTCTCTAAATTGGGAATTCTGCCGTCTCCTGTACCAAAGATACAGCAATAATGCCACTACTGGAACCCCAATTGCAATAGCTGCTCTCTGTTCGACGGAAAGGGTAGGCATTTTCCAAAAATTTCGCGAAAAATAATGCAAACTGAAAGTAGACCAAGCTGTGGCACCTGGCAGGTAAATGGACCCAAGCTGTCTGGAAACTAGCAAGTCCCCTTTAGGCTATTGCACAGCAGGTCCTTCTGCTTCTGGGACCTAACCTTTTAGGTCCCCATGTGAGAGGGATTGAGATAGTGATCACAATTGAGTTCTAGAGTAGAAATGGTTCATTCAGCTGGATACGTGACCAACAGCAATCTAAGTCGGGGCGGGGGTTCATTGGAATCGACATCCAACGATGGTTCTCACGCGGCAAGGAAGACCAGGTAGTAACTCGGTTTTACCAGTTCTGCCTCTGTTTCTTCGAGCTGCAGTTGTAAAAGGAACGAGGAGGGGAGGAAAAGAGTTGGGTATTCCTACAGGTATGATATAACGTAAATGGTACTATATTATTCTAATGTTTATCGATAACCGATTACATGCGGGGCCGACGTTCAATGTACGATTATGTAAGTGTAGATGGAAGCTTGTAAAGACGCTAGCTATCTTCAATGTCTAGCGCTAGAAAATACACAGAAAGTTACCACAGATGATATCGAGAAATTATTGTTTTTCGGCGATATGATCACAGCTCAGAGAATGCGCAGATAGCCTTAGTGGTATCGTCTGACTTCTGTTGACATGAGACAACCCGGAACAGAAATAGATAAACATTCATCTTCCTTTAAACTGAAAAAATTGGATAACCGAACCTGTTCATTTATCAAAAATGGTACAAAAGATCACTTAGTAGAACTCTTTCACAATTTTAGAGATTTAATGGAGGCTTAACCCAAGTCGAGTTGTTTTCAGTTATCCTTACGTTTATTGCGCAAGAGTTTTTTTGGTCTGCGGTTTCACACACGTGAGGAGAAAAACCAGAATCCGATCGAAAAAATCCGCCATCACCACTTCAAAATGCATTCAGATGTCATTACAAACTTAAGGCCATACTTTTGCCGAGGAGAAGTCGTCAAAGGATTTGGTAGAGGAAGCAAAGAATTAGGAATTCCGACCGGTTAGTGTCATGTAAAGAAGTTGGATCCAAGGGGATCCAAGTGTTAGTTTTTCACGCAACTTAAAAATAAGTTTACATCGACGTATTAATTCAGTTCGGATTCACTTATTGTCATTTATGTACAATCGTATTTGACATTTACCGAAAGCCTCGAGAGTAATCTAGCGCTAAAATTCGTTTTTGTCGCAATTTTTCGCGATTTTAAATCGACCGTTGGATACATTATGATTTGTGTGTGGTCATCGTGCTGTGCTATTTGAAGCGCAACTCACGCAGATTTTGCTGCGTCATGTCAGTTTATTTACATTCTTTCTTCTGACCGATAACCTGGACTGAGATTCTCCGATTACAGCATTGGACAAGTCCACTGAAAAATTCAATTCGCATACTAAATAATATTTAATGTTGGATTACGTAGGCGTGTCACTCTTTTTTTGGTGGTCTAGGTGATTCACTAGCAAGTAATATTAGCGATATTTGATAATTTCCATTTTGCTTAAAAAAAAAGGAGGATGTTAATATAAGATCGTGGCTTTTTGCGCAAAACACGACACACAAGTGCTAGTGCCATATTGTGAAAATTCTCACCTACATCAAGGGCTTTGATACATCAACATTTACATTACTTAAATGCTTGGTTTAAAAGCAACTGTAAAACAAAGATCTCAGTTGAAAATGAGAAATAACACTAAACAGCTTTATCTTATCACCCTTTTTCTGCTTGAAGCCATTAGGAGTATTCTTCCTTTATTTTATCTGTACAATTAAGGATTGTACAGGCTTTCATCAAGGGCTGGGCACTGGGTAAATTAACTGGTGTGAGGATGGTTTTGTTCATCTGGTTTGACGAGCTGGAGGAAAGTTTATCATATACACCAAATTGAAATATGGCGTCCAATTTGAATTGTCATTGTTCTGGACTTACTAGCCTCTCACACATGTGATAATCCTTTGGTGTTTCCACATGAAAACGAGGCTAGGGAGTCCAAAACAATGGTAATTCAAATTGGATGCCATATATTGATTCTGTGAATAAAGAAGTCATTTCATTAAGTAATTTGCCTGCCTATGAAAACTAGTTGCCCTCCTGCTGAAAACGTTAATGAAACCCTGATTGAAACTGGTCATCCATGAGAAACCAATGCTCTTTCTTTGAAAGTATGAATTTTTTGATGATTTGCTTATATTCAAGCTCATCCAGGAATATCGAAAGTGGTATTAATGTATGTACACACGGTAGGCGTGTGTATATTGAAATCGGAGAATCTCAAAGTCATAGACTGTTGGACCCAAGATACCCCTGCACACAAGATGATGTAGCAATCTAAATAAATAATTTTACACTTTTCTTTTCTTTGTTTGTAGCAAACTTCCCTACAAGTGTAGTGGATAATTTACCAGAGACAATTAGTACTGGAATATACTATGGCTGGGCAAGTGTGGATAGAGGACCTGTGTACAAGATGGTCATGAGTATAGGCTGGAATCCATTTTACAACAACACCAAAAAGTCAATGGTAAGAACTCCTTTTATATGTCTGCAATACCTGCAATGATTATGAAAATTCATTGGAGGGAGATTTTTAGCAAAAAGAGAAAAGAATTCGTTGAGATTGATTATGAATAGCTGTTTGAAGGAGTTTGAAATGTCCCTCTGTAAAATATATTTTTGCTATTTACATTAACAAACCTTATCTGCCTGATATCCTCTCTATATCAGCTTATCTTTATTTTCCATGGAAAGTTATATTAAGTAAATGTTTTTAATATATAATCAAAGATATAGTGTATTTTTAAAAATCGAGTTTCCAGATGGGATTTGAACCCACGACCCGCCGTGATCTTGTCGGATGCTCTAACCACTGAGCTACAGGAGTCTCCTGTAGCTCAGTGGTTAGAGCATCCGACTAGATCACGGAGGGTCGTGGGTTCAAATCCCATCTGGAAACTCGATTTTTAAAAATTGTTTATTTTCATCTTTATAGTGTATTTTGGTTTTTTTTTGTTTTTGTTTTTTTTTTCGGTTTCAGGAGACTCACATAATTCATACTTTTGAGGATGATTTCTATGGATCAGAGCTAAGTGTGGTTATCCTAGGATTTATTCGACCTGAAAGAAACTATCCTTCACTAGGTTGGTATTAACCACCTCTTTTATTTCTCATTTCTTATGCCATATGCTTATGTATTTTGGGGAATCAGAAATCAATTTTCAAGCAGAAAGACAATGTCAAGAAAGAAAAATGTAAAATTTAATAAGGAGATACTGTTTGAGCTAAAACCAAATTCTGAGAGTGACATGTAGTGATATGAGAAATATTGTATTTATCTAACAATTTACCTCATGGAAAATTGATATGTACATTTAGATCATGAAATTGAAGGGTAAATGTGATATTTTTATAATGAAATAAAAAAATTAGCATAGCTTAACCATGAGCTACACATTTTTGATGGCAAGCATGTTGTTATGACACTCTTTCTTTTCAAGGGGTATGCTGTGATTGTTTGAGTTCTTTATTTCATGAAACATCTGGGTGGCAAAACTCGACACCTGTGTTGATGTTTGCAGCACCTTGTTTGCTGGGCTGTTTTATTTCCCCCCCCCCACATATTGAATTCTACAAACAGTTTTATAACATAGCTTGTAAATTCATGCAATCAAATTCAATAGCTTGAGCGTGCTTCAATTTTCTTTAAAAAATGGGAAAAACTTCTGCAAAAAAGTTAAACTAGACATGGCAACAAGCAAACAAGTTGATGAAGATTTACCTACTTTTTCTTTGGGAATGGATTTTTTAACTCCCAAGAAAGAATGCAGGGAAAGGGAAAACAAAACAATCAACAGTTTCATCTTGTTTTGGAACTCCAACTTCATTTCCACGCATGAATTCACGTGTCACTTTTTGACCAATCTGAGACAAGATCATTGAAGCATGGCAAAATACTTTTCCGAAACAAAATAAACAATGCATTGAGAGGGAATTTCTGCCCTTTATACATAAACTAAAACGTTGAAAATGTTATAAAACAATTGGTTCATACATCAGCTGTGCGTTCATCAAGACATGAAGTCCTTGGGAAGTTTGGAAGAGCACTCAAGAAGCTAGAGTTGCTTGAGGTGTAGCTGAGAGCAACTCTTACGCATCTTTCGTGCTCTCCAAACTTCTCGATGAACGCACGCAGACGTATGAACCAATTGTTAATTAGTAGCGGTGCTGTATAAAAACATTAGAAAATGTTATTTTAACTTTGTATTTTGATTCAATTGAAGTTTTTCATCATACTTGTTAATGTTTCTATCTGTGCAGGTAAAAAGCACTATTCACTTGGGCAGCACATACTAAATGTTTATAATAACGTATATTTTTTTATTTGAGTTTGAATGAAATTTTGCAGTAAATGTTGAAGAATTTAATAGAGCAAATGATGGTTCATTTTGAAAAGAAGCTAATGATGATCAGTAAATGTACTAGGTGTCAGAGAAGAGGAGTAAAGATCCCAGAGTTAAAAGGTGGACATTAAAGTTCAGTTAATGCCTAGATTCAGGCTGCATTCCATGACAAGAGTTAACCACACTCAATCAACTTCTGTGATACAAGAACTAATGGCTGTACTTCTGTTTCAGAATCTCTGATAGAAGCCATTCATGCAGACATAAAGGAGGCTGAACAAGTTCTTGAAAAGACTGAAAACAAAGAGTTTGCATCACATAGCTTTTTCATCAAAACAGATGATTGTACATAGCTCATAAACTTAATATACTGAGTGTTAGGCAATATATCCAAGTGGTGCAGCTAGCCTGCATGGCTCCTATACATAGTAGAGGGGATGCGGTAGTTTACATAAGGGTTAAATGTAGTTGCTAGGATCTGTGGTAGGGGAGTCCATAAGGTCCTAATGATCACATGATTTTCCCCCTGGGTATTGGATTCCCCCCCCTTCCCATCCCCTGCATTTTAGCCCCCACTCCCTATGATGTATATGGGCCATGTAGCCTATTTTTGTACAGTTATGCAATACATTTTTAATTAAGCCTTGAATAGTAACCCCTAAATATAAAACATAAACATGAGGATGTTTTGGGTTGCATTGATGCGAACAGAACTGAAACTTGTCACATACAAATTCTATTTACAGTTAATCAGGTTCAGGGCTTGACACTAATGGTAGCCCACTAGCCACAGACTAGTAGAAATTCAGTTTCAGCCAGTGGTTTTTCGATTTCCACTTGCCAGTTTGGCTAGTAAACAAACCGAAATTGTCATAAGATCTAAGACGTCACTAGCAAATTGGCTAGTAGGTTGAAAAGTTGGTGTCGAGCCCTGAGGTTGACCCCCATGTTAAAGAGTCACAGAAAATAGATTTAAATGTAGTCGAATTGTTAGACTGGTATTCAAAACTTGAGCCATCTGCAAAATATAATCAAAGTATTTCATTTGAGCTCAGAAAAGTTGTATAATAATCTTGACCTGTACCGAGTAGCATTTACCATTGTTACCTTGGTGCAAAATATGTATAAGGTAAAATATTATGTGTTTAACTATGCGACCAGTGCAATCCAGTTAAAACCGAAATGACTAACTGTGAATTTTCTCCCCCTTAAAAGTTTTTAAGGGTTTTTACTATGATCAAACTTCTCTTTGGTTTGGCTAAACCAGAGTGTTTAACCTACTATTACCGAGACTTTGGAAAAACCTTTAATTAGTTTAATTAAGTTAATTTTCTCATCAATTAAGGATCTATTTTGTTCAACTTCAAAAAACTAGAAGTTTCAAACTTTACCCTGCTGATGGTTTATGTTCACAAGGAAATACAAAATTGGGGAATTCCTTTTTGTGAAATGAATGAATGAATTAAAAAAAAACAAACCCTTTTTGAATATATAAAGGCTGATAGTTTCGAAAGAAACTGTTTGGGGCTGCGTCGGTGGGAGTAACGAAATAATTTGGATATATCAACAAAGTTGAAATGGTAAATTGGCCACCGTAATGATTACAAAAGCTGACGTTTCGAGCGTTAGCCCTTCGTCGGAGCGAATAGAGGAATTGTGGGTTGTGTGTGCTTTTAAAGGCAGAAAATGGAGCTACGTTATTGGTGGGTGCATGGCAACGAGAAAAAACATGAATAAATTTTTGAATATGCCACGTTTGCTTGTGAGTGAAGTCGACTTTTTCAACAAACTTGGAGCTGTCTTATTAGAACAGGACACCTGTGTCTTCCATTGTGCCCGTCAAAATCACTCTTTTTAGCAGAAGGCGCTCCAACCTCCTTCCCAAGGTCCCGTAGGGAGGGGGGGGAGAGAGAGGACCCTGGTAACGCCTGCCAGTTAGCTCAATGGATAGAACGCTGGACTGCTGTGCGGGGGTCGAGGGTTCGAGCCCCAGCCGGACCAACACTCAAGGTCTTTAAACAAGTGAGAAGAATATGCTACCTTTCTATATCAAGAAATGGTTAGATACTGTAGTCTTCTCGGAAAGGGACGAATAAATGGAGGTCCCGTCTCCTGCAGGGTTAGGGGTAGGAGACGTTAATTTCTCACGCACGAGATTACTGTGTGATGGATGTCCTCCCCTGGGGTGGTTGCTGGCTGGGAATTGGCCCTGAAAAGCCCCCATGGGGAGTGGTCAACATAGGTATGTATGTATAATGAGGTCAATGACAATTGTTGTAATGAAGCTCTTTCGTGGTTTGTTCGTCTACATTTAAAAAACGTTATTTGCAATGCGTATCAACCTTTTTTTACATCCTAAACATCAACGAGGAGTTGATAGAGCACTGGACTGTTGTGTGGGAGGTCGAGGGTTCGAGCCCCGGCCGGACCAACACTCAAGGTCTTAAAATAATTGAGAAGGATATGCTGCCTTTCTATAACATCAAGAAATGGTTAGACATTCTAGTCTTCTTGGATAGGGACGAATAAATGGAGGTCTCGTCTCCTGTAGGGTTAGGGGTAGGAGACGTTAATTTCCCACGCACGAGATTACTGTGTGATGGATGTCCTCCCCTGGGGTGGGATGAGTGGGTTGCTGTCTTACGTTTCATACAGGAGCCTCTGGCTCGGGCAATGTGGGTAACCATGCCCCACGTAAAGACAATAAACTTAAACTTAAAACTAAACTATTTGTAATGTAACATGAAATTCTCTCTGCTGAATAAACCAGTAAGTGAAGACTAGCTGGGGAAGAAAAAATCTGCAGTCAAATCTTGAGGAGTGAGCGGCGTATACGGAGTGAATACGTGCGCACGTATTTTGTGTTAGAAATATCACTTCCGCTTCCTTCAGCTTGTAATCTTATCTTCGCGGAAACGGTTTTTTCTGGCTTAAGGACGGGTGAACAGCAACGGTTTTAAAAATTAAACAAAGTGGAAAACTGATTTATACAAGACTCGAATTTGATGATCTCTTGAAATAGGTCGAGCGTTTGTACGGATTTTTTCTTAGTCTAGACGGCCATTGACATTCTTGAGCAATACGCATGTCACGTGAAAAGTCATCCTGTGGTTAGGCATCAATATTGGTTGACTAAAACCTTTAACAACAAAAAAGGTTTTTACCCTTGACTTATGAAGTGGTGATCGCTAACATTTTATTAATAATGATCTTCTGTTATTCCTCAGATGCGAGGGCAACATATAGTGTATTGATTCTCTTCTCAGTGAAATGTATTTATGCCCAACAGTCAGTGGTCAAATCTGGCCATAACCGGAATTTGATTATCTTTTTTTCTAGAGCGATGAGCGGTGCTTTGACAATTTAGCTGATTAGCGCCAAATGTTGACTTCGATACGAGATCAACACGATATTTGGCATGATATGGGACTTTTGACTGTGACGGTTGCTATACATGTGAAATTTTGATAGTCGTGATATGTGCTCGACGAAAATTCTCTCTCCCGGCCTTTTCAAGCTCCTGAAATCGATAGCATGTAATATCTGGAAAATAGGAGAAAGAGATTTCGTCATTTAGTCTGAAAACATCTCTCTGCTTTATTAAGAGCTATAGAAAAATGTGTTCAGGAAGCAAGCTGTCCTGTGTGAGTAGTGAAAATGCCTGGCGCTTTCCTCTGTCATCGGGATTGCTTGGGTTTATGTTGGGAATGTCAACTTTTGGTGCAGCGATGAAACTGTCCGAATATAAGGAAAGCCCTAGTCTTCCTCCACTGATAGCTGCAATACCAGTGAGTATAACAACAAACCAACAACAAACGTGTTTGCTAAATCTTTTGTGTACCGAAATTATAGAGAGTAAATCGGATTATAACAGTTCCAGTGCAGTTTTGAACTGTTTACTGCGACACATCATTGACGTTTCGTTGAAGTGCCTTGCTTCTTGGACAGATTAATAACTAGGAAATGAACAAAAATTCTATCATATCCATAGAAGTCTCTTTTCAACTCAGAAATCAAGTTGGATTTGAAAATTGCCTTGAAAAACAAGTAAACGAACATGCAAGACCTGAAAACTTGTGTTTCCCGTCGGATTGCGATATCAGGTCACCAAAGCCGAGAAATTAATTTCGAATTCAGTCAGTCACGCTAAATCTTTTCCCGTCTTTTGATTGAAATAATAATACTGTTTTGCCTTAGCCTTTCACTGAGATTTCATAAGCTAAGTGGAAATAAAATAGACAGAATTATATCGAATAACGGAACACTTCGAAGATAGAAAAAAAAAAAAAAAAAAGAGAAAAACCCCTCATCATGAGATGTGCGCGTTGCTGTTCCATAAAAAAACCAATACAAAAATGACAATAATAATGTATGGCAAGTTAAAGGAGTGGAGAGCACGGTGCATGGGGATGAAAATAATACGTGTTACTTCTTCCTCTTTCTCATAAAGATGTTAAGTGCAGGTCTTACTGGTATGGTAGGAGGACGAATGAGAAAACGTTGGCTGGTAAGCAGATATTTCTTGTTTTCTGTCGAAAAGAAACTTACTTCCCAGGTAGTTGAATTCCGACCGAAGTGCTCGGCGGTGCTAAAAATGGATGTTGAAAATGGTATACTTTGATCTAAAATAGGGTCACTGGATTTCAATTACTGGGTGACATCATTATTAAGAATTCATAGTGGTGACTCGTATCCCCCCAACTTAAGAACCACGAAATTTCCACTGTCTTGAAATTATCTTTAAATAAATAGAAACAGCTATTTTGCATATGGCCCGGTCAACAGAAGCTTGAATGGGTAAGGTTCGAGTCTTGTAAGATATTCAACGGTAATTAAAACCAGGTCGAACCATATCTGCACTCAGGTGTTTAAGTCCAACATCGTTTTCCGCCCCACCCCTACCTGAGGGAAAAGGCCCTTGGCTGGCTTATGCTTTCGCCTGTTTTTGTTTTTGTTTTTTTTTTCTATTTTTTTCATTGAATTAGATGTTACAATTACGGTCATAGAGGGAAGAGGTAAAAAACGCATAGATGCAAGCCTATTGTTCTTCTTTCGACAGATTTCACTGCACATGGCTCTTTGCTTGGTTACAGGAGTCTTTGGTCTTCATCTTATCTTTCTTTTCATGGGGAGAGAAGTTGAGTCGAGAAATATTCATAAGGCTAAATGTCAGTCCAACTACCAGGGATCTTGTAAGTTCACTTAATTTTTGTTGTTGTAGTTATGTGTTCTCGTACCCATATCTTTCACGGCCAAGCAGTTGTACAGCTCAAACTACGTGAGATTAGTATTTATGTAACATAAAAACCGGACTAACATCGCATATTACGGGTGCATGGTGGATGAGCTATAGGTGGTCTCCTCATAAGGAAAGGGCTAGTAAACAAAATAATGAAAAGCCTTGTGAGGCGATGTCGAACATGGAACACGGAAGTGCGAAACCAGGGAAAAATTTTACTCTCCTAAGAAGTAAATAAGACGGTCTTACTATGCCACCCGTCGCTTATGAAACTGCTCTATCGTCTACTCCCTCTACAGATGCCAAATACTTAGCTATGACATTAATCATATCGTACACATGTCTTGTTTCAGATTACTGCCACAGATACGCGACAACCATTGCTTTGTCTGGGCTATCTGTTCTGGCTATTACGTTGGCTCCCTTAGGAATTCTATCTTATGTTGTCATAAGGCGAATATCCGCGTATAACGTCAATGAAGTGCTGGTAAGAAACGGCAAACATCTAATTACCGTAGAAGCTATAATATGTCCCCCCCCTCCCCCCCTGTCCAATAAGTCTCCATCTCAATTAGCTTGATTTTATTTTAGGTAAATAAATCTATAAAAATTGATATATCTTTCCCTAGGACCCGACCATAAACTTCTTGTTTTTAACATAGCCTTTTGTTTTCTTTTTCTATTTCCAATATCTTAAGGAGGCAAACAATCCAGCCTTTGACGCCGAACCATCTCCGACTAAGAGAACAGGTGAAGACCAAGTAGATTATCAGCATCAACGAGTTTTTGATAGAGCTGCAAATCACCCACCTAAAGCTGAGCCTAAATCACAGACTCACCGACCAGTTAACCTTAGAAATTCACATGGAGGTGAGTGTCCTCCACCCAATCACAAAGAACCATTCGGTAGTGATCGAGTAGCAACTAATTCAGCTATGACTCAACATAAAATGCAGAATTACCAAATTCTTCACTATAAGAAGTCAGATGACGATATGCGACTTTCGCCCAATCAAAAACAACCTTATAGTCGTGATCAGGTTGGAATTCATCAACCCAGTGCTCAACCCAAACCACAGAATCACCGCCCGCTTCAACATGAAAACTCACATGGCGATAAACGACTTCCGCTCAACCACAAGCAGTCGGCAGGTGGTAATCGGGCACAGAATCAGTCATCTAAAGTTGATCCAAGACCGCCGAATCACCGAGCACTTTACCATAAGAACTTTCGTGACAATATGCGACTTCCTCCCAGTTACAAACAACCTGACGATCGCAATCGAGTGTCGATTGAACCTCGTAAAAATGAATCCCAACCCAAGAACCACCGACTACCTCACAATAAATATCAACATGACGATGTGCGATTCGCAGAAAGAGACGTGAATCACATACAGCCCCTCGGAAACAGACCTTCCCGTGACTTCATGAAGTACAGTAGGGACAGATATCGCCAGCAAAACATGGATCAAGTATCCAGAGCACCAACAACACGGTTTGGACAAAGTCACGTGCCACTGGCCGGTGTCAAAGTAGCGAAAGGTATATCGAACATGACAGATACCTCGTTTGCATGAAGGGGCGTGTATATTCTACAATCGTTTGTAGAACACACAGAATAAATACATGATGTAGAGGCTATGAACGAGGTGGGTTACGCCCATACCAGTTTTTTCCCTGACGTTTCGTTAGGAAACACGACACAGAGAGATTTTCAGCAGGTTTCTTTATAGGAGAATTACTCCATCTTTTATTTCATCTTTTTTTTTTCAGTATTTATTTGCGCCGAAATTAAATCTAGATCTGTTGCCATTATCAATCTTTTTCACCCATTTTTTTTGTAAACTGGTGATATCTTTATTAAAAAGAACGAATAAAATATATTGATTAACCTGTCTTTAGGTACTCACCATTTCTAAACTTGAAGTACACATTTCAAAGATTTTCAAAAAAGCAAACGCCAACTAATCGCTCATAAATTAGCAGCCAGCGCGCGTTAAATATTATTGTAGTGTATTTTGACATAAGTTAAGCTTAAAGGTTTTTCAAGTTTCACCTCATGGTTTAGGTCTGAGGTGATTTAAAGTTAAGCCCTCTCAAGGACTTCCACTGTAATTTTGACTGTTTTGACTTAATTTCGGAGTGTCACTTTGTTTGAGTGGGCATGTCTTGGAAGTTGACAGTGACCTTGGGCCTTACCAACGCGAATGTTCCTGTTTGGGTTTCCAGCTCAATTTTGTAGTCTTACTATTCGAATTACATCAGCTGTATGCCTCTGTGGTTGATCACATTACCAGTTTGTTTTCACGCAATGTCTTATAAAACAGGAAGCGTTCTCATGCTCGGAAAACCTAAACATAGTTTAGATATTTTAGGAGACCAAAAGTTGGCTATTTTTCACTTATGCAGTTGTAGAAGTGAAAGCCAGAATTATTTTGGGAATTATTTTGAGTATTGAACATTAACAATATTGATAAGGAAGGAGAAAGGTAAAAGGACAGGTACAAATCCTTGACGCCTTCAGTTAAGCGTAAAATGCTCGACGTCCCCCCCCCCAAACGTGTAATTAATGCGGGGGGACGTTCAGCTCTTTCAACCCCAGATGTGTTTTGGGATTTTTGTACTTTAAAGAAACTGTGTAATTTGCGAGATAAACCAAGGCGTAGCTGATAGGATTCTTAGATGTACTTGCTAATCTATTCTAACTGATTCAGAAAAACCATCATTGCCTGCGCACGAATGGCTTATTATATTTATTATTATTTATTATTTATTATTATTATTATTATTATATGTCCAATCTTCGTATCCCCTTTTTGATCAAAATCTCTTTTCACACCCTTCTCCCCCCCCTCCCCCACCACCAATTTTGAATAAGCGGCTCCTCCCTTTTGCCCATTTTTATGGGCGACCAATAAGACAACAAAGAGCATCTGGTATTGATCGTGTTTATTCAGTCACGTTAAATCCTGCGCATTTATATACACCAGACTTAAAGCCTGTTTTAGTCAGTCAACACGTTCAGTTTGGAAAACTGATCACGAGTGCGAAGAGTGCCGCCTCTGTTAAAACTTTAAACTAGGATGAGTTTCGTGTTGTCTCTAAGCTTCTTTATACGCTAATGCCTTCTAACAAGTCTCAGAACTATCACATCTGGCCAAGATCTGGGAAAAAATTAAAAAGCACCTTTCCTATCCCTTGAATAAACTCTCCTTTGCCTGGTCTCGTCCTCAATTTTCAAATGAGCGTCCCAAGCGTTTATTGAAAACATAGTTGATAAATCGAAAAGTGAGGGCATCCCTGGGTTCATATTTGGATCCGATCTTGTCAAGGTACGCGCTGGTGCACTCTAATTTATAAACTGGAGTAACACTTAATTAATACGCCGCGGATGATATGCGGAGGTTTGAAAAGGTTACGAACTTTGCTGAGACAAACAGCCTCTAAAGCACTACACTATAGTGCCTGCTTGCTTTCCATTTTTAAAGCCGTTGTCTTTCACCGGTGAAGTGCTGGAGCTCCCCATAATCGCATCGAAGTCTACAGAATAAACGTCATGGTTAGTTGACTGTCGCTTACGATTGAGTCTGGGTTTTCTGTCCGCGTGCTCCGAATTTCCTAATGACACAATGGCCAGTTGATCACCATTCTGTAACAGAGGTAATTTAATGGAGGGAAAGTAAGCATGCGATACAATATAAAGACATCTTAAATAAAACTTGCTATAGGCTATTCGAGCGGTGAAACGAGATTAATCAGTCCGTCCTTCAAGTCTTACAGGACCTTACAGATAGAACTGGATCCGTTTGGGCAGAGCTATTTTCCATCTTATCCAGGTGCAACCACAACCTCGTTCCCAGGGGCGGGAAGATGAGAGACCCTGGGAACGAGGTTGGTGCAACCAGCGGACTGGACGGAACTCATTGACTTAGTTGGATAGATAGATAGATAGATAGATAGATAGATAGACAGATAATAATTTATTGGTAAATACTTTGCAGAATGAACTGAATTGCGTATTCACAGATATAAAATAAAAACTACTATGTACATGTATACATCTTATTATTAAAAAATACGTAGTTGGTCGTAAGGGGGAACTTGTACATTATTTGTGGCTGTTGACTATTCTGGCCGAAGCAATAAAAAAACTGTTTTTAAGTCTATTTGTCTTGCAAAGTGGCAAAGCAAAGGTACGCCCGTGCCTTAACCTATGAGAGCTTACATAGCGGGGTGGTAAAAGTTTACTTAATTTCTGCTGAGGATCGTTCATTATATTGCGAAATGTTGCTGTACACATATTTTCATGGTGGTCTTTCACAGTTGAAAGATTCATAATAGCTAAGGCCTGTTCGTATTGCATACCAGGACAAATGATTCTCATGGATCTTTCCTGAATACGTTCTAGTTCTTGGTGGAGGTTTTCAGGGAGAGAGTAATGAAAGACTTGTGCTGCATAATCGATTACGGATCGTACACGTGCCGTATAAAAGAGGCAAAGGTCTTTTAGTGGAACGTGAGCTCTTTTTAGGTGAACAAGGAAATAGGTTCTCTTTGCTGCTTTCTTGGTAATCTCAGTTATGTGAGCGTTCCATTCCAAATCTTCGGAGATGGTAACACCCAAGAGTTTGGCTTGTTTAACCAATTTCATGTGTTTACCATCTATTGAAACTGGATCGAAATCCCTTGGAACTGAAGAGAAACCAATTCGCAGCTCTTGCATTTGTCTGTGTTTAGTATAAGTCTGTTTTTCTTCGACCACCCTATTACTTGGTTCGTCGTATTTTGAGCTCCACTAGGGTGACCTTTCTTCACAGCTTCTGAGGCCGTCGTATCGTCAACAAATTTCCATAAGGAGGCGTTGGTGATCGCTAAATCGTCTATCATAGTCAAGAAAAGCCAGGGACCTAATTTGGTACCTTGCGAGACACCAGATGGAACAGAGCCTCATTCCGATACGCACCCATCAGACATCTTAATTTCTTCCCAGAATGTAGTGCGCCATGGAATCTTGTACTAACAATCAACATTGTAATAATGATGTTTATTTATTTTATTTATTTATTAATTTCGCCAAACAATAACAATCGAAATAAATAAATAAATAAATAAAAAATGGCAGGGAAACCGCAACAGCATAGCCAATTTCACTGTTGTCCAGATCTGCCTTTTTTACCGCTTGTTCAAGGAGCTAAATTACTTAAGTCAATAGTAAATCTCTTAATTCTGCAACTCACCGAAATAGCGCAGCAAAGTAGCTGAGATGATTCTATCACGCCCGACAGGGAAATGGCAGACTCCAAAATCAAGATGCTAATCAAGGCGATCATCAGAATTGATTCTGTGTCATACGGACATTGTACTACAAATGGAAGAAACAATCAAGGGGGTAGTTAATTAATGCTGAATTGAGTTTTTAAGTGTTGAGGGTTAAGGTAATCCTGTGATTAGATTGCCACTTATTCTAACACTGATTTACGAGTAATATTTCTGTTTAGCAGATCGAGAGAGCGATGCGCAGAACTCCGGTACCGGCCGGTGGAAAATCATTTTCAAGTTTGTTATTTGAAATCCGCGTCAGTATGGCTTAATTCCCGTCTGCATTTTATCTTTCCCTTTTAGTTTGGGTTTATTGTCAGTAGCCTCATCAATGTTTTTCTGAGGTTTCTGTCACGTCCTAAGTAACAACCCAAACTCTGACCGCGGCATTGTCGTGGAGTTAACACCTCAGATAAAACTCACCGTGCTCACATTCGCCCACTGATCTCCGCGCAGTCAGCGCGACTCCCACGCACGCGGCAACGATTGCTCCGAGAATACACGAAATGACACTAGCCGCGAGAAATAGACCTGTCTGATGACAGAAATGTCAAGAAAAAGTTCTCAATATAGAAATTTTTACGAACGTAATAGAAATAGAATCGAGTGGTGTGTAGAAACGGAAATCACGAGAAGCCATTAATTAATTAAGAATTCAAACGTAGATAAACGCCAAAAACTTACCACAATGAATTTGCCACTTATTCCCCCGAATATTCCCAAACTTCCAGCGACGACGATCTAAAAATATTTGAACGTACTGCTCAGTATTCAGTTTTTCACGTCATATTCGGTCCTTTCCCTGGTAACGGAAACTTCCTAATTAAAATGTAAGGGGATTTTACGGCAAACTTGCGATGATCTCTAATTTATTCTTCTAAGACCCTCTGACGCACAGTAAAAGGTTTGTAAGAGACTAAACGGCTTAATCGGCAAAGCAATTTGTCATAGACATTACCAATTGATTGCCTTTCTATTTTCATACAGTCTATGAAAATTAAGCGAGTTGACCTTCCTTTCTCAGTGTGAAATTGATTGATTGATTAATAACTAAGAAACAGAGGCAAGAAACAATAATCTATTCACTTGTCGATGCATTATCCACCCATAAACGCTGTGTTTTCTCAAGCTGTATTTGTCTTTTCGATCTTTCTCGTCGTGCCTTTTAATCCGGTGTTTTTAATTGCCAAAAGGGATATATTTCTTTGCAGTGTGAGCTACCCGCAGAGTTTTACTTTCTTTTCTTGTTTAAATTTTCAGGTCGGGAAAGTTATGGCTATCTCTGCTGGACTATGAGCTAACAACGTTCAACTTGCACAGCAAAATACAACTCTTAATTTCACGGTGGATTTAGCCCTTTTTGTATAACTGTTAACAAGTTGTCAATCATGATAAGTCGATGTAGCAAAAACTTTTACCAAAAATGGAAATGATCTATGCAATTAGAAGAAACTTGCAATTCATGCTGACATTCAGGAATCGCACGCTTTGAAAAAACCAACGCAGAAATTTCCTTAAATCCCCGTGGGTGTATGCAAGAAGATTTTGGTATGATTTGTGAGAAAAAAATTCTTTTTTTTATCAAAGAGATTAATACATTAAAAAAAAAGCATGCGTAACATAATCAGCCCATGGAGCATTAAAATAACCTTTTGTGGGTTGGAGAAAGATGTCATTTAATTCTGATGAGATGTTTAAAAATTAATGGACGTAATTTTAAAGAGTTACACCGATAAAAATTGCTCGATGATTCAGGGAGATTTTAAGCGTAGTACAAAGCGTTTCTGACTAAATTAAAACATCCGTACGCGTCTATCAAGGATTAACCAAGTTTACTGTTTTTTGTGAGAGAATGAAATTTACGAAATAAAAATTTGACTCAAAATGCTGCTAAGCAAACAGGGATGTTATGATCCCAAATAAAAACATGAAATAAATGATATTAACGTTAGTTTTCCGTTCGGCTCTGTAATGCTTTTCCAAAAATAGCACACTAAGATAAATTCTTTGTAGAACTCATCAGAAAGAAAAGTTATGCTGTCACAGTATTCGAAGAGAGTCAAAATAAATTAAAAGTCGTGTTTGATGTTCGAATGAGAAATATTATTTTTTCAATGTAAATATTACTGTGCAGCTGTTCTAAACAGGAATAAATCTAGTTTAAACGTTTGTTAAATTAAAAAAAGTCGTTGCTCATTTTGTGAGAAAATCCAGCCACATAAATCAACTTTTTGTTACTTCGTATGATTTCTTCTTCTTCTTAGCGAAATTTATCTCGCTTAAAATAAACTTTTTTTAATACAGATAGGAGGTAATTTACAAGCTCCTCCTCTAAAGCTGCTTGTGGTTCTACAGCACTTACTGGAACAGCTCCCCAATATGTAACACCAGTGTCGAAAATCTTCCCAAGGTCATTGCTCCTGTTGTTCAGGGTAAAAGTCAAGGCAAACACACCAAATCCCAGGACGATCTGGGAGATCCCTGTACACACGACCTGGTTCGCTCTGTTTTCTTGAAACGCCATTCAAATTCTTGTTCGACGCAACCTTCAGGAAATATATCTGACAAAAACAGATCCAATCGAACAGGACTTGAACATCAGGCCTAATGGAAGCGTCCACTTCTTATTCGCCCAAGGGCAAAGAGCCCATTTCCTTTTCCTTTTATTTGCACTAATTTTCTTATTGCAAATGCAAATGAAGTCGTAATTATCGTCGTACAAAATAATCACGCGTTACCTGACACGTTCGTAGGGTTTCCATAGCGACACAGCAGACTGATTGAAGATACCCAGTCGGTTCAGCCCTGACCATGCTCTTTCCCGAGTAGCCATGCTGTTTTCTAGTTAACGTTCTGCATCTTTGTGCTTGGTGTTATATGTTGTACAGTACAAGAGGAACAGTACTGATTAAAAATTAATTTATTTTCGTAAGGTAAAAAAAAAGACGACTTTCGATTCTGTGTTTAAAAAGACGGTGAGAGTATTATTTAAGTGTTGCTAGATTTCTTTTCTTTTTATGTAAAACTGATGTTATTTGAAGGTTTTTGGCAGAGATGCGATCCTAACATGGCAACGGATAGGATCCTGAACTACAGTATAGAAGATCCTTCCACAATTTCGAAAACTGAAGCAGAATTTCTTATCATTTATTTTTTCTGTCCGGTCTTTTTCGCCCTTCCCGAAACACAGGCGGCCCAGGCGTTGTGACAAGCTCTGTCACAGGCTCTTTCACAGTGGATTATTATAGAGTTTGTAGAGTGGTTTAGTTGGACTTGCTTTGGAGCTCCGTAAATATAAAGTTGTGTGAAATAATCAAAGAAATAAAGTCTTACCTTCATACAGAGTAGTCTATGCTGTTCTTGTCGCGATTTGAGGCCGTTTTGCTGTGTTTCAGCTTAACGTCCTACCACTACCAAATAACTACCAAATAAAAGGTAGGACGTTAAGCTGAAACGCAGCAAAACGGCCTCAAATCGCGACAAGAACAGCACAGACTACTCTGTATGAAGGTAAGACTTTATTTCTTTGATTATTTCACACAACTTTATATCTACGGAGCTCAAAAGCAAGTCCAACTAAACCACTATACAAACTCTATAATAATCCACTGTCACGAGCCTGTGACAGAGCTTGCGATAGAACCTGGGCCGCCTGTGCCCGAAATGAGGAGGAAGGGAGGAGCGCGGGCTCCGCTTCCCAAACAGCGACTGATAATCGAGCCTACAAATGTTCCCTTCATTTTCAGATTTTGCAGAATCGAGCAGTTCAAACCAATTACCACCACAAAGTCACACGAAGTGAATTCGAAGATGTGAATTAAATGATCTCGTACGCAACAGCTCCCTCTTTCTTTCGTTATTTTGTACATGCAGTTGACGAACGTAAAGAAACGCAACACAGTTACCTAGAGTACCACGTGTTAATTGACTAAAAGGGAGGGCTCCACGGCAGAATAGTTGGCTTGAGGTCTGTATGTTATGGCCCTGAGCCAAATATTTTCCCTTCCAGCCCAACCTTAGTCCACCAATAGGCATGTTATTGTGTAGTAAACTTAAGCTCTATCTCTTTCTTCCCTTCCTCTAACTTTCTGGATTTCAATATGTCATATGCTGGAACGGGAGGAGCTATGAAACTACTTGCACTACTCTGTATGGCTCTTACGTGGTTATCTGTAATTATTGTTTCCTAATATAAGAGCGGGATGAGACCCACCAGGTAATTCCCCCCTCCCTCCTGTATAGAATGCTGGTCTATCACATGCAAGACCTTCCCTTCCTTCCCCATTCATTGGGTTTTCCCAACATTTTACTGGAGCAATCATAACCAGTAAATATTCATTGGTGGATGGTGGAGAGAGACTTTGTGACTGTATTACATTCCCTGAGATCACAAGTGGCCTCACAAAGTCTATAGCTTAAGCCATTTCTCTTACAAACCAGTGAGCTAAATGTCAGCGCACCTTGCTTCTGTTGCTAACCTTGCCTACTGGTATCTCAATAGCTTGAACAGAGGCTGACAAACACTTTTGTTACAATATTTTAATAAATTGAAGAATAATGTTTATTGACTGCTCGGTGATATAAAATCAGGGACAAAGTGTTGTGGTCACAAAATCATATATTATCATTTGCAAACGTTGGTTCACACATGCAGTAAAGTTTCTCTCTAAGATTTTGAAACACTGGTGAACAAAATCAAATATTATTTCTTAAACAAAGCAAACACATTGTATTGTTTGAAATAAAAAATTCAATTTAATTTCTCTGTATCTCCTGCAGATTTGTGATTCTCTCAAAGTGAAAGCCAAATTTCAAAAGTTTTAAATAATATCATGATTCACTGGCCATGATATCTGCTAGCTTATCACTAAAATAGTCCTCTACTTTGGAAGGAATGGCCCAATGTCCCGCATGGAGCTCAAGCAATTCCAATAACAGACATCTTGTCTTGGCAGATGAGTCATCAGCAAGTATGGTGTCCCTCATTCTTCCCAAGAGTTCTTCCACTTTCTCCTATCCAAAAAATAACAATAACAAAAAAAAGTAGTTACACACTGATAGTCAAATTAATCCAAATGACTACCACTGATAGAGAACAGGACTGTTTCCTTAGACCAAGGTTTGGATATGGACACATAAAAGATTCGCTAGCATAAAGAGGCTCATCTTAACAAAATCTTTTCATCCACCATAACAAGAAGGTAGCAACCAGTTCTAGCAATCTTAGCCAGTGGTAAGTGGTAATTAAAATTTTAAATATTTCATAAATTTTAAAGATTTAAAAATTTTCATATTTAAGTTTGAATGTGTCTGTTTCTACAATGAACAACAGTCAATGCATATTCATCTACTACTAATCATCATTATTGAGTTGATGCTTTTAAATGCCTTAGACTTTAACTTGTGTAATTCTTAGTTGGCTTACTTTCACTGAGTAGATACACGGCTCTACAAGCTTACAGTATCTAAGGAGTAAAGCCACACCTAGGAGAGCAGAAAATGTTGCCATTCAAAGAGGCAGGGGGTGGTGGGGTGTGGTTGGAGTGGAGACTACACTGCTAGACTGACATCCCATCCAGAACACGAAGTAATAATCTTGAGTCCTTGGCACTTCATGATGCAGAAATTGGATTAGTTCCAGTAGTGATGGTTCATCTGGCTTGTAGGAATACACCCTTTACAACCTTGCACAAGTATGTTCCCAAACTGTTTATTGTACATTTTCTATGGTACTGACTGAGGGATTTGTTAATTAATCCAGAGCTTCTTGGGTTAGCGATAACTTCCTTTATCTCCTGACCTCAATGTTTGATTCAGCTGTGATAATGTAAAGAGAAATCGAGTGCTGGTCACTCTTTGGGTTTTAAGGGCTAACCAAACTCTGCTTTTACCTACCTTATTAACGGTTTCTAATAGAGATCCTACAGCTTTAAAATTATCATAAAAACAATCTATTTCATCTCCTTCGAGCTCCTCATCAGTATTGCTGGTCTGTCCTTCACTTGATAGTAGTTCGCTCATTGTCTGGTGCACCGCTGCTGCTAGGACTCTTATCGGGGAGTCGCCGGTACGAAGGTGATGAAAAAGTTCGCAAATAAAACACGCTAGCCCGATCCATTCGCTAGTGGAGTTTGCACGAATACTTTCTCTCTTCTTATATTTTTCTTGAGTAGTTTTCATTAGATCGCCTCTAAATGCGTTTCCAAATGATTCATCAGAGCAAAGCTTGTTGGCAGCTCTGGCAGCTAGAGGTGCAAAATAGCTCTTCTTGATCGTCTGCTGAATTAACAGATCAACGACGTCCTTGAGTTTCGTCGAAGAACTAGATTGTGTGATATGTTGTGAAATTTTCTCAACTTGTGTGTCCAAATTGTTTTCTCTTAGATCGTTCAGCACCCTCGTCAAATCAAATTCATTAGACGAATTTTCTGATGAAATATCTGTCTGTTGGTCAGCTTTTTCTCCCGGTTTGCCTGGGTTTGGTATTCCAAATCCACCTCTACCTCGACCACGGCCTCGTGCTACGGCCGCCATCTTGATAGGCTCGATTACTAGCCGCTGCTCGGGAACCGGAGCCCGCGCTCCTTCCCGAACCCACTAGTCTCGGGGAGGAACGGAAAAGACCGGACTCGAGAGAGGGGCTGAAGGTTAGAGAAGCTTTTTACTCGGGGGAAGGGGGGCTCTCTCGGATAAGGTAGAACACCTTCTATGCTTTACTCCCTTTTTTTACAGAGTTTGCTTATGGTGTGTTTCGAGAATTTTTGTAAAACAACAATTAATTTGTGACTTTGTTTTTAAAAATAAAAAGGACATTTTTCTGAAAATTCCATACCACACAATATTTGTGTCAAGCTCCCACCCGTCTTGTTCATATTTGTAACAATACCCAGTATGCCTTGCGTTACGCTGTACCAAGATGGCGCTTGAAGTTGAGTCTGCGGAGTAAGTGAACTTTATTGTTGTTTTTCTGTGCGTATGAAATGCTGAAGTTCATCCATTACCTCTCATCAAATAGTGGATTGTTTTAATTACCTAGATCATCGCTTTATTTTGTTGAGAGAGCTGAGTTAACGGGGAAATTGTCCTAAAAGTAACCACGTGTGGGGACAAAATTAAGCGACACTGATTATGAAAGTCAGTGCTGCGACAATTATTTTGACAGAACGAGAAGAGGGAAAATTCCTGTCATGATAGGAAGTGCAACAATTCTTTGATTTGATCTGTAGTAAGGAAAAAGCGACGAAGTAAATATGTTTTAAGAACGATTGTCTTGTATGCTCTCTATTGATCATGCAGCTCAGAGTCAACTTACCAAATTATATTATCGTAGCGTTGTTAGTTCCAGAAAAACAACAGTTGTAATTGTAGCCTTAAGGAGTGCATAATTTATTTTAAAGGGCATTAAGCTACTTAATGCTGGCTAGTTTTTTTTTATGTGATCGCCTCACTCAGTAATGCACGGTCATCGATTTTATCTAAGGTACAATGTAACATGATAAGAAACACTAACTCTCGGCGGAAAACCAGACTGCTATCTACAAGAGAAGTTTAGGATACAAACCTGGGAAAACTGAGATACAAATCCAGATGGATCTCAGAGCAGGGCTCAGATTAAATCAAGGACCTAAATTATGTGTCATTCTGAGAGCCACTCAGCTATTTTTAATCTGCAGTGTCTAATCAATTCAAAGTTTAGTAATATTACGACCTGATTTGAATTTCAGTGTGATCCGACTGATCCAACAATTTCTGAAAGAAAACAGTTTACCAAGAACCCTTGCAACTTTGCAGGTATATATTTAGTAATGATAACAGCTTGGAGAAATGTGACTTAATGAAAGTATCAGTGAATTTCCTTCAGTATGCACCTGGAAGTGCTCACTTGCCACAAATGCGAGAATTGGAATCCCTATGATTTCCACTGATGTGCTGTTAGCAATATGAAAATACTTGGTTTCTCATGTTTCCTGCAGGAAGAAACTGGAATAACCTTGAACACTGTTGACAGTGTAGAAAGTTTTGTAGGAGAAATAAACAATGGCCACTGGGATACAGTCTTACAGGCCATTCAGCCACTAAAGCTACCTGACAAGAAACTTATTGACCTGTATGAACAGGTAGGAGAAATCTTTCTACATTGGTCACTTTTATTAAACCACAACATGAAAACTGTTAATCATTGAAACAGCACATTTCCTCTCCTCCTCTTTATTCGCATTGTCATTGACATTTGAACTTGTTTTATAATTCTGATGTAGATTGTTTTGGAGCTCATTGAGTTGCGAGAACTAGGAGCTGCAAGATCATTACTACGCCAAACAGATCCCATGATCATGTTGAAGCAACAACAGCCTGATCGATATCTCCATCTCGAAAACATGTTGGCCCGTTCTTATTTTGATCCCAGAGAGGTAAGCCACTTGAAATTTAATGAACACTTTATTAGTTCGAAAATGTGAACATGGGAGCCTCTTAATGGCACGACAGATAAAATTAGATTACTGGCAATCTTTGCTCTTCCTGGGGGAACACAGGGCCTCTAGTTCCCTTTGCCTTCCCCCCAAGTGACAATGGCACAATGCTGAAAATATAATTTTCAATTCTTTTTCCAATTAACCTTTTAGGCATACCCAGAGGGTGGTAGTAAAGAACGCAGGAGAGCAGCAATAGCACAAGGTGTGTATGTTTGTATCATGAAATTAAGCATTACTGTATTTTTTCAGTTGTAAGGTGCAGTTTTTTTTTTTCAAAAAAAATGTGCCTGATCACCCAGGTATTTTCATGCAATGAAATTCAAGAATGTCCAATTTTTTAACTTTAATGTAGTATGAAACAAAAGGTAAATAAATTAAAGGCTAGGAATAGTGGTCATTGAAAGTGAATTAGTGAAAAAGCCCAAGTTGAGGTTGCATCCAATAACTTGAAAGAAACAAGTTCAAAAATTCAGGGTGGGCCTTATAACCAAAGGTGCCAAATGACAGAAAAAATATGGTATTTATCTTATGTAAACAGCAAAATTGTTATTGAAGTATTTTATTATATGCATACAATGTTTGTGGTATGGTAAATACCAAGCATACCAATGACCAATTATAATTATAATTGGGCATTGTTTTAAAGGTTTTGTCAGAGCAAATGCAAATGCAAATGCAAATGCAGATAAATTATATCATTTATTATATATTGGTTTGGAGTTGTGTGTTGTGTTGAGAATTGTCATTTCACCATTTTGCAGCCTTGTCAGGTGAGGTGTCAGTTGTACCGCCATCTCGTCTGTTGGCACTGCTAAGTCAAGCACTCAAATGGCAGCAGTATCAAGGTCTTCTTCCACCTGGAACTACTATTGATGTTTTTCGTGGGAAAGCTGCTGTAAAAGATGAAGAGGAGGAGAGATATCCAACTCAACTAAACAGAACCATCAAGGTATGCAGAGAAGACTATTATTATATTTTATAAACCTGACAGATTTAATCTAACTGGATACACACTAGTGTTGAAAGTTTTTTTCCCCCACATTTAAATGTTTGGTTGTGAGTAGAGTAGCCAAATCAACTGAAGATACTGTGTCAAGTTATGAGGTGAAACAAAAAAGAAACTGTGACAAATTTTTAATGGACATATGTGTACTTATTTTTCGCTCAGTTTGGGGCCAAATCACACCCTGAGTGTGTCAAGTTTTCTCCTGATGGACAGTACTTGGTGACTGGGAGTGTGGATGGTTTTATTGAGGTGTGGAACTTTACAACAGGAAAGATCCGAAAGGATCTCAAATACCAAGCTCAAGATAACTTCATGATGATGGATGACTCTGTATTGTGTTTATCCTTCAGTCGAGATAGTGAAATGTTAGCATCCGCGGGACAAGATGGAAAGCTTAAGGTACTATATGATTTTACATTGTTTTATTGAGGTAATGTCTGTAAACGTACAGATGGAACACGATAAGAAGTGGTTGTTTCAGGGGCTTCAACAACTTTTTCCATAACCGGTAACCAGCTTTTATCTAAACTATGAATAAAGGCTGATAGTTTCGAAAGAAACTGTTTGGGGCTGCGTCGGTGGGAGTAACGAAATAATTTGGATATATCAACAAAGTTGAAATGGTAAATTGGCCACTGTAACGATTACAAAAGCTGATGTTTCAAGTGTTAGCCCTTTGGCGGAGCGAAAGTTTTATCAAAACTGCTGAGTTCATAATTGAACACACAACAATGATACACAATCATTATGATCGTGGCAATGCATATGGAGATGATGAAGAGGAGGTGAAGAAAGACCAGGTGTCCTCAACTTTTACAATAGAATCTTCATCTTGACCTGTTAAGGGAAATGGGAAATATTTTGTGATAACAGGGATTTAGAGTTAACTGGTAAAAAAAAAAAACAACTGACAATGCATTTCAAGGGAAGTGGAGTTAAGCAGAAGTTCAAGTGAAGCCTGTTGTATTAATTTTAGCAAGATTCATATTATCTTCATGTTGTTTTATTCCTTCTCTCAGGTGTTCTTTGCATGTTATGGTGTTCCTTTGTTTTTGTTATTCTATTATCAGTTTCACTTTCAAGATTTCATTTGTAATTCTCCTTACAGTCTGCCATATACATCTTTTGATGTTGGTTCAGAGAATTTGGTATTGGATCAACTAATAATCCCCTGCTTGATATTTTTCTGTATTCTCATCACTTTTCTGCTTGATATTGTATTGATAATGTAAGGAGAAATTATGTCTTGGTCACTCATGGGAGTTAAAGGGTTAGCTTTGTTTTGGACTATTTTGTGCCCCATCCTGAATTGTTCCTTTTTTTCCTCTCTCAGTGTGATTGAATGCCATGATTGTATTTTCAGGTGTGGAAGTTACAAACTGGTCAGTGCTTGCGGCGTTTTGAGAAGGCTCACGCCAAAGGAGTTACTTGTGTAACATTTTCTCGCGATGCTAGTCAGCTGTTGAGCGGTTCTTTTGATATGACAATAAGGTGTGTCTACATATACGTGATGCTTGTCCCATGAGGCAGTTTGCGACTGATTATCGAAGTAAACCAAATTTTTCTGGTAGTGTTGCTCGGTTGCGCTCAGTGATTGACATGAGAAAATCGCGTTACCCTCCAACCAATCAGATGCAAAATTGAAACCAATCGTCACTTGGTCTTTCACGTTTTCGCGCGCTTGATGCTCATTTGAGTTCTCATTGGCCCCTGAAGTGATCTTTGTTCTGATTGGCGTTTATGATTACTTTCGCTTTGCGACACTCATTCCAAATACGGTCTATGCGAAACATGCCTTGCTCTCTCCTTTATGGACGCAGCATATTCCATTGGCATACAACACCCACATATAAATATTTTAACAATGAAAACGATGTACAATTTACCTGTTGTATCTAAAACGCAGCCCTCCCGGTGAAAAATTTGACGGAAACAAGACACGTTAGACAAAATCCGAGAGTTTGCAGCTGTCCTAAGAAGAGAGCATTAAGTGCGGTGGACATTTGAGTAGGATAAAAACTTGCAAAGGCAATTCTTGTGACCGATGTTTTTAAAAAAATG